GAATTTTAAAAGATTTTGAATTGAAAATTTTGAAAACAATTGAATTTTATTTGATTTTGAATTGAAATTTTGGGTAATAAGTTAATTTTAGTTGATTTTGAATTGAAATTTTTGAAAATAATTGAATTTTATTTGATTTTGAATTGATTTATGAATTTGAATTAAAAATTTCTGGTAATCTTATTTGAAATTTTTTTAAAATTATAAACAATTGTTAAATTTCATAAAAATTTTAATTGAAAAATAATTTGAAATAATTGAATTTGTGATGAATTTCATTTAAAATTATTAAAAATAATTAATTTAGTGAAGAATTTTAGTTAAAATTTTTTTTAAATAATTGAAATAATGAAGATATGAAGAAGATTTGCATTTTATACTAAAAAAAAATATTTTATTTAAAATTTTTTTTTGTAAATGTAAAAAAAAGTCGAAATAGTCGCATTTTATTAAAATAAGTCGAAAAAAGTCGTATTTTTGAAAAAAAGTCGGAAATAGTCGAAAAAGTCGTATAATCCGAGGCCTGTGGACTAACAAAATTTTAAAAAATATTGTAATCAAATCGGAATTTAAATATATAATTAATTTCGCAATGAAACAAAAGATAATCCGACTTTACAAAACTTTTTCTCGCATTTAAAAGATAATATCCAATTATAAGACTCATGTTACATGAACTTTTTTTTCTCTTCTAAAAGATAATTCTCAATTAGAAGAGACGCTCTGTACGATAATATCTCAGAAAAAGAAACTAACGATCTCATACATTTGAATACCAAAGATATTTGTTCGCGATTATCGATTAATCGTTTCGAGAGATATATAGAGGATAATAGAGAAATTTCTAATGAAAAATGTGAGACACACAAACACATATTAAAGAAAGACATTGATAATTATCATGGCAGGTACAAATTAACTTATCCCCTTTAATTCGTGTTTTTCTATTATAACACAAGTGGCATTTATACATCGAAAGTGACAAGACTTTGCGTTTATATTAGACATTATTGCACACGTGACGCAGGTGAGTCTCACATAATGTTGCAATTGGAACAATAATTTTCCAGGCATAATGTATGTGTACTATATATATGCTCAAAGGTAATCTGCGCATTATTTAGTATATACAGGTGTGTATTCAAACTAACTGATTTATTCGCAGATGGATTAAATATTGTCCGCATTTAAACGCGACCTACGATTTCAAAGTTTCGCGAACCGATTTGCGTTTACGTTGCATTCGCGAGAAGCGTGTGCGGTTGCGTATCATTTTGCGCAATTTAGATCGTTGTAATACGATTTTCCATTTTGCTGATGCCATCCACTTAATATTATATGAATATACCTTTTCATTCGACTTTTAAATTATTTTCAAATTTCTCATCTAACTTATTAAAATTGAAAAAAAAATTGTCCAAATCTCAATTTATAAATAATAATTATATTATTTTTAATGAAAATATCAATTCACTGTAAATGAGATTAAAATTTATAGGAAAAACTTTTATATAATTGGACACATTAGTGAAAAGTTTTTTGAAATATGTCCATAAATGAGGATAATAAAAGTCAGTTTAAAGAGTGCCTCATATATTAAACGATGCAAGTTTAAAATTAAGATTGACGTTCATCTGACTAATGTGCGACTTTTAGAGTACCACATATCGATCACTTTAATGAACACAAAAGTCCAGGTATTGTAACGTCATCACCTTCTAAGTTATCATTTGTAATCCATATATACATCAGACAAGTTAAATGACTCCCTTGAGACCCATCCTTTATGACCCATTACTCGCCCACGTATAATAAAACACACCTAGATAACGCTTTACAAAATTTTTTTCTACAGACAATTTCGACTTTATAAATTTATATATAAAAAAAGAAGTATGTATTCAATATTTATTTCTTGAATATTTAAAAAAAAATTTAATTACTTTAATAAATAATAACTTTTAATATTTACGATTCTCTCCTAAAATAGATTGACAAATTTTATCGACTATTCATTAAATGAGACTTGGACATTATATTTTCGATTGTCAAATTAATTAAAATTACTATCGCAGTAAAGTTTTTAAAACGATTTGAAACAACATTTATTCATCAATAAATAAATATTTAATACTAAATTAATATTTAAATATTAATAATAAATATAAAAAATAAGTAAATAAAATAAAAATTCCTATTTTAAGAAACGCGATTGGTTGTTTTAATTTAATAAAATGTATAGTAAAAAAAATAAAATGAAAATAAAAACATAATTTTTTAATTATTGAATAATTAATTTAGTAATTAAATTAATTTGGATAATTGATTATTTATTTAATAATGTCAAAACTAATTAATTTGGATATAGTTCTAAAAGCATCCCCCCGCCGATTTTAATAGAATTTAAAAATAAAATTTAATTATTTATTTTCATTTAATTTTTTTTATTTATTTAAAATAAAACTTTACTTAATTATGTATTAAATACTAAATTAATATTTAAAAATTAATAAAATATTAATAATAAATTAATATTTAGTGATAAATAAATAAATAAAAAAAAATAGTAAGAAAATAAAAATACCTATTTTAAGAAACACGATTGTTTACTTTTTTTTTATAGAAAACAATAACTATTTAACTATTCACTATTTGCGGCAAGTTAAGGTCAACTATACAATCTCAGGGTTACAAGTTTCTATTCATCTTGGTTATTCGCTAAATGCTTTCTTCGAAAGTGAAAACTAAACGTTTTCTCGATTATCCATTAGAGAAAGCGCAAGGTTAACATTATTCACTTTTGTCTCGATTAATGGCAATATTGAATAAAAGCCACATTTATAAACGTTACTGTTTATTCACCATTTTTAGAACTCATCGTAAACATTATGAATAATTAAAATTTTGCACAAATTACTTTTATCAAAAATTTCCCATAAAACTCGCGTGAATTAAATACTGCGCATGTGCAGATGTCACGAAACGTATTTCTTAATTAATGCAAAAATTTTTACCAAATCCGATAAAAATACAATAAATAGTATAGAATTTTACTAAATTTAACAATATTAACAATAATTGATTGGAATATTTCACTAAATAAATGAAAATATTGAAAATTAACGAACCTAACCCAACATAAGAGAATCTTCACTTCTTTCCTCGATTATGTGGGCCACTTATGATTTTCTCCTCGAAATTTATTCATTACTATTTTGGAAATATGCACTAATAACGATTATCATTAATTTGAAACCGTAGAAAACTTTTTTTGTGTATAATTAACGTTAATTGTTACTTAACGTTGTGCTTCCCTTCACGTTGGCATCGTGCTGTGACGTCACCATCGATATATTTCGATAAACTACTCTGCGCGTGCGCGCAAGCTTCGATACATTTACCGCGAAAATAAATAAAAATTTCAATATTGGAAAACATTTTATGATAGAAAAATCATTAAAAACAATAATAATATTAATAATACATTATTATTGATATAATTAATTAATAATTAACCGTTTTCTCGATTATCCATTAGAGAAAGCGTAAGGTTTAAATTATTTACTTTTGTCTCAATTAATGGCAATATTTACTAAAAGCACATTTATAAATGTTACTATTTATTCACCATTTTTAGAACTCATCGCAAATCGTAAATATATTATAAATAATTAAAAACTTGAACAAATTACTTTTATCAAAAATTTCCCACAAACTCGCGTGAATTGAGTACTGCGCATGCGCAGATGTCACGAAACATGTTTCTTAATTAATGAAAAATTTTTACCAAATCCGATAAAAATACAATAAATAGTATAGAATTTTACTAAATTTACCAATATTAACAATAATTGTTCAGAATATTTCACTAAATAAAGGAAAATATTGTAAATTGACGAACCTAACCCAACATAAGAGAATCTCCACTTCTTTCCTCGATTACGTGAGACACTTATGATTTTCTCCTCGAAATTTATTCATTAATATTTTGGAAATATGCACTAATAACGATTATCATCAATTTGAAACCGTAGAAAACATTTTTTATGTATAATTAACGTTAATTGTTACTTAACGTTGTGCTTCCGTTCACGGTGACATCGTGCTGTGACGTCACCATCGATATATTTCGATAAACTACTTTGCGCGTGCGCGCAAGCTTCGATACATTTACCGCGTAAATCAATTAAAATTTAAATATTAGATAACAATTTATGATAGAAAAAGCATTAAAAACAATAATAATATTAATGATAATATTAGTAATATATAATTATTGACATAGTTAATTATAATAATTAATATTAATATAATTAAAATGCCTATTAAACAAATTATATTCGAAAGGTAAAAATATAAAGAATTATTCCTATAAAATAAAAAATATCTAATCAGTTTAATCGACATTAATTTAATGTTCGGATATAATAAATTACATATTAGAAAAGTTAATGTTTTCTAAATTCAGTGAGAAATGGGCAGTTAAAGTGTAAAAAGAGAATTTGCAATTCATTTAGAGTTCAGTGAGGAAAATTAAAGAGCAGCACAGCCTAATCCTTATTTAATGACACGTCGCGATTCCTATAATCCCATTTCACGAAGGTGGATAATTCGACAAAAATGATAATAAAATAAAATTTTCTGACGTCACGTCATCATTAATGTCAATTATCAAAAAAATTGTTAAATTTACAAACAAATAAAAAAAATGAATAGAAATTTTTTCAACTAAAAAAAATATATTTTTTTAATTTAAAAAAATTTAGAAAAAAATAAAATGAGAATAAAATTTATAATTGATTAATTATTGAATAATTAATTTAGTAATTAAATTAATTTGTAGAATAATTGATTAATTGTTTAATATTGTCGAAAATAATTAATTATTTTATAATTTATAAAAAAAGTAACTTTTCATTAAATTTATATTTAATTAAAATGCAATTAATTAATTACAAAAAAAAGGTAAAAAATTTTTAATTATGTGAATTTAATTTCAGGTGACTGAATGGTGGCTAAACGACATGTATCTCTCAATACCTCTCGCTCTTCCAATCAACATCAATCCTGGTTTGGCAGCACGACCAAAAAATTTTACCAACCAACGTGAAGCTGCAATTTTTCTCGCTCGCTTTTTAACTGAACTTCTTAATTATCAGGAACTGCTGGACAGGTAATTCTTTTGTTTTCACTCTACTTTCTTTTTTTGTCCTTTATATAGTAATTGGAAAAACTTAATTACTAGTTCGAATCAGATTTTTTTAAGTAAGCAGAACTTGAAAATAGAAGCTTAATCAAATTTATTAAACCAAAGCTAATTGGAGAAAAAAAGTTTCTACAGTTTTTTTTTTTTTAATTTACTGTTCTAAAACTTTTTTAATTAATCAAAATTAGTTTTCGAATTTTTTAATTTGTTTTTCAATTAAATAAATTTGCAAAATAATTTTTTTAAACAATAATTATAATTCTTTGCGAATACTTGAATATTAATTTCAAAATTCATGGAAAAAAGAAAAATATTCTTCGAATCAACCAATGTGTTCCACAATTTACGGAATATATATATTTTTTTTTTATTTAAAAAAAAAATATTAATAAAAAATGAAGATGAAGAAGAATTAATTTCCATAGAGACGTAAATCTGACCTTAAAGGAACTTATTATCAGATTGAGTGACATCAGGACAAAAAGAAGCCACATTGAAATCAATTTGGAATCCCAGAACCTTGACGAGACGGAAATCCGGTTTCTAAGATCTTATTGAAAACGAGCATAAAGGCAGAGGATTCTGTAGAAATTCAAAGCCCTTAGTATCCGGCATTCTCAAATCACGAGACCTTGTTTCTTCCGACATGCTACGAAATATCGCAATTTCTATTTTAATGATATAATACAAATTATATACGCTTAACGATTTGAAATATAGAATTCCTATATTAATATCCAAATTTTAAATTTATTTTTTCTAACAAATTTTCGTTCCAAGCGAAAATTAAATTTTTGTCAATTTTTGAATATTGTACAGATCCGAACTTGAAATTGATCAAGTGAAGACAAAAGACGGGAAATCAATGCAATCATTATGTATGGCGCAACATTATCAAATGTTGAGAATTTATCGCAGACCTGGTGTTGATGCCGATGAGCAAATCATTTTTGATAGAGCCACTTCCGGGGATCATATAATTGTAGCTCATCACAATCAGGTAATTAGAAAAATTTTTTTTACACAATTTTTGAATATTATATTAAAAAGTAGAAGAAAAAAACATTTCGACTTACCATTTTTGCCGCATAGTTTTACAACGTTCCAGTCAGAGCTTCAGACAGAGGTCGAATCACAGAAGGGGAATTAATTCAACAAATTCTTAAGATCATGGAAGAAAAGCCAAATCCAAGAACACCACCAGTGGGAATCCTCACGACTGCCAGAAGACCCGTTTGGGCAAAGGCTCGAGAAGAACTTCTAAAAAGTAAACAAATTATTATTTTTATTTTGAAAGAAAAATTGAAATTATCAATAAATTTTTTTATTTAATTTGGGCTAATAAATTTTAGAGAATATTCAAGTAGATAATGAATTATTAAAAGGAAGAAAAAATTATTTTATTGAAAATTGGAATTATAATAATTAATTAAATAATTCAATAATTCAATATTCCATTGATATTGTAAAAATAATAGAATTTAGTTAGAATTTTTAATCAAGTTGCGTTTATAGTTGAAAAATAATAATACTCTTTCAGGCATATAAACATGATAAATTTGTGCTGTAATTATTATCGAGTCATCCTCTTCGCACCAATATTCGCGATATACCCATTAACTTCCTAAACCGACCTTACTCAACGAGGCCCTACGACCTATGCCTCAAATCGAATAACTGATGCAATAATGATTTAACGACGACTTGTGGTCGGGGAAACACAACGTTTATAGACCTATCGTAAAAGGATAAATTCTTCCAGTAAAAAGTCCTTTCTAGATAAAAAAAAACCCTCTTATCAATGTTACAATTAAACATTTATTGCCTTTTCCATTTTTTTTCGAAATTTACGTTCTTTTATTTAAATTAAATATTTAATTCTTTGACCTAAAACTCAAAATATTTGAAATAAAACCGAGAACTAATTGGAGGGTTTCAATTAATTAATATATTAAATATAATTAATTGATAAAATATTAAATTTCAAGGTTTATTTTGAAAGCAAATTTAATTAAAAAAAAAAAATTTGCAGATGAACGAAATCGACACAATATTGAATTGATGGAAAGGTGTCTTTGTATGATTTGCATTGACGACGATGTTCTCCCAGGAACTTTTAACAATCCTTATAGAAAAGAAGATAAATGGATTGGCGACCGAGATTATGCAAATGTTTTACATCACACTCTACATGGCGGTGGATCTAGACATCTAGGAGCTAATCGGTGGTTTGATAAAACCTTCCACGCAATTCTTGGCAAAGTACATATATATTTAAAATACTTTAAGATTATTAAATTTACATAATTGATAATTAAAATTTCCAAATTTCAAACTGTATTAATTAATTCATTAGAAACAAGTCAATTTACAGAATAGGATAATTTAATTTCAATTTAATTTTTTTATTCAATTTGGCAAAAACATTTTATTTTTAACGAAAACTAATAAATTTTATTTGTCTTCTTTTGTAATTTATAATTTGAAGATTGCACTAAAAAGTAAAATATTACAAGTAGCAATGAATTGAGCTTATGAGTATCATTAAGTAGCTCATTATGACGATGTAACTTGAGAAGATCCAAGCGAAATCCTCTCCTCTTGTAATTTCGTAAAATGCACTCTCTTTGTATATATATCCATATGTAAGTCCCTGACACCGATAAAAAGCACTTGCCCAATGGCGAAGTGCAGAGAAAGTACTAAAGTATCGCTAATCATCGCAAAACTGTGAGAATTCATATAAGGATCGTTAACACACTACATAAACTATTTTTTCTTTCTTTCTAATATCACGGAAATGGAAAATCCTCACTATTATTTCTTTCGTCATAGCTTAATTTATAATGAAGTGTAAAGAGAGTTAATATCTCACGAATAAATATTTTTAATTTTTTTTTTATTTAAAAAAAGTTTCACAAAATTTAAATTTAATTTTACTTGTAATTTAAAATTTTAACTAGAATAGAAATTTTAATTTTTTTTAAAATGTATTTTGAAATAATTAAAACCAGTTTAAAAATTTGAAATTTTTTTAAAAACTGAATTTTTCTAAATAAAATAAAATTTTTTTTAAAATAATTTAATTGTAAATTTCAGGATGGTTTATGGGGCATGACTTACGAGCATTCAGCGGGAGAAGCACCGGCTATTTTCAAGGCTTTCGAGGATTTAACTGATAATGTGGATGCAATGCCACCACCAGAAGAAGATCCTGTTCCGTCACATCTTCCAAATCCGGAAAAACTCGAATGGTTTTTATCTGAACAAAGCAAAAATGACATTAGAGATGCAATGACTACTTTCGACGCGTAAGTTTTATTTTTTAATATTCTCAAATAACTGTTTTTTTTCATATAGATTCAAAAAAATAATTTTCCACCGTCAAATCTTTGTAATTTTTAAATAATCCTTTTTTTTATAATTATTATTTTAATTTCAATAAAAAAAATGAAAGATTTTATAGTGATGGAAAATATAAAATTTTTATTAAATCTGGATGAATACTAAAAGGAAATTTTAATTAACTAGTTTAATTAATTTTTATGCTCTACTCACATAGCTTGGTTGAAGATCTGGATATCTGCATTCTTTGGTTCAAGGATTATACAAAGGAATTTATAAAATCTTGCAAGATTAGTCCTGATGCTTACATTCAGTTGGCTCTCCAATTAACTTATTTCAGGTACCTAAAACATTAGAGAAAAAGAATTAATTCAATAAACAGGAATTAAATTAAAGAAATTACAAATGAAAAAAAAATTCCTCTATTTTCTTTCTTTTCTATTGGTAAAAAAGAAATAAATTATGAAAATTCAATTTTTGGCTAAAATTAAGGGATTTCATAATTTTATATTAGTAATAATTATTTTTATTCTTCTTTTTAATTAAAATTGCATTAATCATTAATTATCAAGAAAAAAGGTGACAGAATTTTTTTTTTCTAAGGTTGCACGGTCAACTTGTGGCAACGTACGAGAGTGCAGGAATCAGGAGATTTGCATTAGGTCGAGTGGACGTTATCAGGTCAGCAACTCCCGAGGCGTTAGCATGGGCAAAAGCAATGTGTCAAGGCGACCCAGAAATTCAGGCCGGAAATCAACCCACCAACTTGCAAGAGGAAGGCTCTAAAAGAGTTCAGTTCACCATTTACAGTGTAACTGGAACCTTCCCTTTCTTTAATGACGTTCTGCTGTGCAGTAATAAATTTTGTGTTACTGCTTATGTTTACAAAAAAAAAGCAGTTCAACATCGTTGTCATGCTTCCATTAAATCTTTACAGGGCATAGAAATATTATTATCATTTTTATTTTCATTAAATTTTATCATAATTTATTTTACGATCAATGAATTTGATTTTATATTAAATTTTCTCCCTGAAAAGATTTTTTTTTTTCACGCCTTGATGTAAATAGTTTATAGTTAATTGATATATATTTATAATATTGTGACGTATCTTCGTTTATCATATAAGCATGGCGCATTTTATATTATTTTTGAAAATATATTTTACTTTTCACTTTAAGTCAAATTTTTATTTTTACGCCTTATTTAAGTTTTATAGAAAAATTTGTCACGTATTTTATATTATTTCGTTAATGATTATATTAGTTTTGTTTAATTAACAATTCATTATTTCTCTGCATCATTTTTATTTATCACTCACTAAATCTAAATTAGTCAAAAAAATTTTTTTTTGAAATTTCTAATTTCGATTTAGTGAGATTTGTCATTTTGTGTAATTTTTGTATTATTAAAAATTCAGTGTTGTAATCATTTGCCATAATAAGCAAACATTCGTTTAAAAAAAATAATGTTTTCTAAATTTTTAAACAACTAATATCTCACGCAACACTGAAATTTTTTTTATTAATCTCGTTTCTCATTAAAACAATATTATTTCATTGTATCAATATATGATGAGGTATATATTTCTAATAGTTGAGAAGTTGTGTGTATTAGTTATAGGCAGAGGTTGTTTGCACTGTAACAATTGATGGAGAAAAAGAAGAAGGAAAAAAAAGAGGCTAAAGATGATGAAGGCTCATCTCTGAAAATGGCAATCAATTAAGTTACCTTATCTCGTTGTCCCTTATCTTCAATCGAGTGTTTGCAAAATCCTCGAAAAAAAAGAAGTGTATACAGTCACTTCCTGGTCACTGTTTGGGAACATTCTCCAGAGACCTTTTTCTCTATATTTTGTTTCTTTTTCTATTCCTCCCCTATCCGTTTTCTCGATTCTTCAGCTTCTTTCCAAGAGATCGTTGTGCTTTCTCAATTACCCCATTTGTTATTTCAGCGGGCTTCATTCTCCATCAGTTTACTCCACATTTCATTTTCCCAAAATAATAACTATGCAGGAAATTACAATTGTAATTCCATTTCAACGAATGCTGCAACATAAAATAAACGTCATTTATTATTTCTTCTTTTGAAAACTAACTTTATTTATGTAATGAGAAAAATTTTCCATTTTGAAAAATATTTCCATTATATGCGAGAATGGAAAATATTTTCATTTCAATGAAATGAATTTCGTTTGGAAAATTCTTCCATAAGGTGTGAAAATAAATTTTCAAATATATTGATTTAAATTTCTGAACGTTAAAATTTATTCTTAAAAATAAAATTAGTTTTCTTCCAAGTGAATTATTAGAATTTGCAACCTTATAAATTTGGTTAATTGAAAAGTAATAATTTTCTCAAGATTTACATTTTTTTGTATCTTAGGAGCAAAAAATTAGAGAATTATTCGATTTGGCTGTGCAACGACAAGCAAAAGAGATAGCGGACAATATTCATGGTCTTGGAATAGATAATCATTTAATGGGTCTACGATATGCAGCCATTGAAGCTGGAGAAGAAGTTCCAGAGATTTTTATGGATGATGTCTATAAAAAAATCAATCATTTTGCTCTATCAACATCGCAGGTGAGTTTTCATTATTTTTTTTTTCAGAAAAATAATATTTTTTTATTGCAAATAAATTGAAAAATAAAAATTTAGATAACAACGAAAAATGATGTGATTGCGGGATATGGACCAGTGGTTCCGGATGGTTATGGCTGTGGTTATAATTTGCGCAAAAACGGATTTATATTTTCCATCTCAGCTTTTCACAGCGATGGAAGAACGAATGCTTTAAGATTTGCACAAGTTCTCGAACGTAGCATGCAGGACATGGCTTCAATGTTGAAAAATACTTCACAATAGTTCTCAAATTATTTATAAAAAAAAAAAGAAGAAAAAAATATGACCAGACCAAGTCTGTATTAAAGGAAAGAAAGGTCCTATCTTACTAAATAAATAAATATATATAAAGAAATAATTTAAATATTAAAGAGAAGAAAAACATAGAAAACAAAAAGTCAATATATTAAATAAAATAATTATATAATGAAACTAAAAACATATCAAGATGAATGATCGATTTTATCAAAATGAAATACACACACATAATATTTCTATTTAGAATATTTTAACTGGGATAATTTAGTTAAAACCGAAATATATTTCTAATGGAACGTTTAAACTCACTTTTTTTTGAAAAATTACTTGGAAATTTTAACCAAATTTGCCTTCTTAAATTTTCCGAAAAAAAAAAATTACCAAAAAATGGATTTTATTGGATTTTTTCTTATTGTATAAGAAAAGTGAGAAACAAGTGAGCACGATAAAACGAAAGTATATAGAATAACGAAGAAGAAAATAATGGTACTATGTGTAATAATATTTACGCTTAAAACTAGAAAATTTTATTGTACAATGAGAATCGAGAACAGCGATATTCAAAATATAATCGACAAGTGATAATTTATTATAAATAGTTTCAGAAGCAATTTGTTTAAGAAAAAACAACAAATATTAATTAAATAAAATTTGTTAATTAATTACATTAAAATTAATAATAATAATAATAATTTAAATTAACTAAGACGTAGTCAATTTAAAACAATTAATAAAAATACGAAAATAGGAATTTATCAACGACAAATGGAATTGAGAATTAATTTTTAATTAATTTGTGAATTGAATATTTTTTTGCAAATAAATAAAAATTATTTTATAAAAAACAAAAGCTTCTGAAAATTAAATAGAGACTCGATATTATATTTTGTTCATCGCTAATTAAGAAAACCGCACTTGTTTTCTGTCTCGTCCTCTCGACGAGAATCAAATCTCATACATTGATCGAACATGTACCTAATAATTACACTTGTTAACAGATGAAAAGTATTTATCAAAATCACGATTAGAGTGAAGAAATTGATTATAAATTATATCATATATAGTATATATGTATAGTATAATAATAAAGCATATCTCTCAACTGGAGAATGCCAATTAATTATCATATATTTATGTGCGTGCACTAATATAGAAAATATTTTAAAAAAAAAGAATAACTATTTGTCATTTCTATTTTCTATGAAAGAAAAATGCATATAACTTATTTTGTTGATGTAATTTGATTTGAAGAGTTTACTGAATTGTTATTAAAGAAAAAAAATATATTAATATTATTATTAGATTAATTAAAAAATACAACAAAAATATTAATTAAAAAATATTGTTTATAAAAATTATTAGTTATGAAAATATTAATCATGAAAATGTTAATTACAAAATAAGTTTAAAAAAATGTTAAACTTTTTGTGAAAATACGTTATGTTTGTTAAATTAATAACTTTTTCGATTGTAAACACAAACAGTGCTTAATTTATAAGAAAAAAAAAAATAATTAAAATAAATAGAATTAAATCAACATAAATCTTTAAAAATTTCAAGAATTTTTTCTTTTTCGTAAACTGAAGAATATTTAAACTTTGTTAAACAAAAGGAACATAATTAAGAATGAATTGTAAATTATTTTGCAATTAATTCTTAATTATTTTCATTTTGTACAAACAATAGATTAATGACTGATGAAATGTAATTTTTTGGAAAATAAGATTTATGTTAATTTATGTATCAACGACGCGACTGAGTCAAATATAGAAAATAAGTAATTGCATGTAGTAGAAAATTTGTAGCATATCAATCGTATTGTAATCGTAGCATATCTAGACTGTTTTCAATGTCTTTCAAATCATAATTCTATCATTGGAGAACTCCAAAAATTTGTGCAATTAATAACAAAATTAATTTATCATTTCATAATTAATTTAATTACATAATCTCCTGATTCATGGTACTTAATTTTATTAATTTATTTTTGAGAATCATAATAATTTTTTTTTCATTTTTACAACAAAATTTAATAAAAGAATATAACTTTCCGAAAATAAAATTTCGACTGTAAAGAAATGAAAAATAAATTAATTTCCTCGCTAAGGGAGAATCTCCAATGATTTTGTGTATCGCAAAAAAAAGTGGCCAGTTGCTCGACTTGGCGCCCGCACAGTAACTCTTGTCCAATTCTTAGGTAGGTCGACGACAGACTTTCTTTCATGTCTAAAAGTCGTCGACGATAGCTATCAATCTATCTATCTATCGCGCTATCCCTCCATAAACTATATAATTTTTAGAAAATAAAAAAATATATTCTCACCGTCATTTGGAGTGAAGTAACAAAATCCTGGAAAAATAACTTGGCAATAATTTTCCTTTTTCTCTATTAAAAGACACGTATTTTCTCGAATTCGACGATTATCATATTACCTAAAAAATTACAATTTATTAAACATACATTTAATTATATCCACACATATAATTAATTAAATCATAAAATTAAATGTAAATTATTAATTAAATACATAAACACAAATGACAAAAATGTTAAAAAGCCGAGAAAAATTAAAAATGTTTTACAATCTAAACATTAGACGAAAACACACACAAAATGTAATTTCACTCCTAATAGCAAGAGATCACTGATCGTACCAAAAAAAACTCAAATCATAGATATTAGAAACCTAGAATTACATCCTGTTATCCTGAAAAGGATTAAGTATATTTATTTCAAATTAACGAATAAACGTTATTATATCGCTACCTATAACTTGCCCTCAATTTAGACTGGAGAAAATAGTGATAGAAATATTAATATTTTACGAAACATTTTCTCCTCTGTTAAGTTTGATTTAGACATTTTTTCAGATGATTATTATAAATACACATATATATCGCACGTTTTTCGTACTGAAAAATTATTTAGAAAATATACGCAGGATGTGCCTCTTCGTTCTTGTTATAAAAAAAAAAACAGAGAAAGAGAAATATTTAATTAAAGAATATGTGTACAGATATATCTCGGAAAAAATGAGCGTGAAAAATTATATAGAAATAAAAGCACAAGACGGGAAAATTTGCAAACTACATACTAACACCAGTAAAAATAATTTTTTTATACACAAAAAAAAAATATTTTCAAATCGTCAAAATCATCTACAATTTGAGCTTCTAGAGAAAGTTTCTAAAAAAAAAAAAAAAATTTCTTATTACGTTTCTAAAAAGAAAATTTTTCACGCTTAATTCTTAAACGCAAACAAAATACCTATTGTATATTAGTTTTAAGAATATAGAAAATAATATAGAGAGTGTCGATTTTAACATATCGCGAGATTTGTGATCGCACTTTTTTTGCGGCCAGGAATAAAAAAAACATATCAGGCGAAAGCCCCCAAAAAACATATTGAAAGTAATCGTAATATTAAGTGATAGAATGCATGCGTGAAAAATGTTTTATGAGTGTAAGTCGCTTCTTCTAGACAAAATTCATTTATAAATAGAGCACTTTAATACGCGAGGTGGATTCAAAAAAAAAAATTTAATATTATATAACAAAACAAAAGCATATGAAAAATATGATGAAGATGCAATAAAAAAATATTTACAAAAAAGAAAAATTTCTACTGCCTCGCATATAAAATCGCTTCGCGTGTATGTAAACGTTGCCTAGTGTAAATTAATGAAGCAAACTTGACTTTCTATTTCTACGGAAAGCATACAAAGTACACGTACAACGTACCTTCGTAAGAAATTTAACTTATAATAAGCTAAATGTATGTTTCGTTGTGCAGAAATAAATTCTGTTACAACATCTATTCGAGTTGTCATTTTTATTCAAAATAGTCATGAGTACATTATTCGTTCGACTTTATTACGAAGAATCAATTTTTTTTTATATATTCCTATTTTTATATTTTATATCCTATACTTTTTATATTCCTATATTTATTTTCTTAAAATATCTATATTTTTTTCATATCTTACATCTATATTCATATTTTTTGACTTTCTATTTTAATTTTTATAACGTCACATATTCCATATTTTATTTATTTATCTTTCTATTTTCTATTTTTGTATTTGGATCAATCCAAGAAACTCAACGAAATCGGTTGCAATCTATTTTTTAAATTCTGAAACTTTGGCTTTTTTTAGAATTGATTTAAAAGTTTCGCAAATTCCAATATTTTTAAATTTTGAAAAACTGATATTTTTTACTATTTCATCTTTCATTGTTTTTAATTGTTTAATTAATGTTTTAATTAATTTTGAATTTAATAATACGCCCTAAAATGTGACATTTTCTGTAAAAATGTTCACCAATAGATTAATTTGAGGAAAACTATTCCATACCAAAGTTTACGAATTTTTTAAATAACTGTATTATAGCGAATGAACCCAATTTCTATGTTTGATCGGCATTTAAAACTAAAATTTCTTAAAACTTTAAACAATAAACATTATACGACAATTATTTTCATTACCTCATAGAGGTTGATCTTAATTTTATCAAATTGCCTATCACTAGCCATTATTTCCATTGAGTATGGAGTTTGCGAAGTAAGTACTATATTTACAATTATATAGAAGAGAAGTGACAGTTTTTCGAAGATACTGAGAAAAATATTCAACTGTCTGATGGAGCAAGATTTTTTTTTTTGAAAAATATGTTCGATGCAAAAACTTGCTCGTTCGCAGATTTTCAAAATTAAAGGCAAATTTGATTTTGAGATTGCATATTAAGGGAGTAATCACAATTAACGAAGTATTTTGTTGTTTTTTTTCACAATCGAGACGATAAATCAGCATTCACGTCATCATAGGCGCGTGCGAAGCTGTGAGAAAGAAGAGAATTGGCAGTTGGTCGTTTTCTCGAATCATGTTGTAAACATTTTTGAATAAAGTCAATTCCTTCCTGAGAAAGATTTTTTGGCGGCGCAGGAGATTCTCCCATACCAACCTATACAGAACCTTAATTTTAATATCACTATCCTCCACCCATAGATTTTTCATACTTAATAACTAGAAATTCGTAACAAAGCGTTACCTTAATTTTTAAAACTGTTTTAAATTTCAATTTGAATTTGTTTAAAATTATTTTTATTTTACTATAATTTACTTTTAAATTTTGAATATTAAAGAGTAAATTTAGTAAATAATTTAGAAAATTGCTTATGAGAGTAGTATTTTTTTTTAGAAAAGAAAATTAATCATACCTTGAACATTATTTGATAATTGGAATCGAATTCTGACCAAGGTCTTCGGCCACTGGACATTTCAACAACGCAGCATCCAACGGACCAAATATCCGCTGCTCTGCCATGTCCACTGCTTTCGTTTTTCATGAAAATTTCCGGTGCCATATAGGCTTGAGTACCAACGAAACCTTGCAATTCACCTGGCATTGTCGTGTGTGCCTTAATTTGAACTGCGCAACCAAAATCTCCCAATTTCAGGCAATTTCCTTCATTTGTTAAAAATATGTTGGCAGCTGTAAAAACAAAAATATCATTTTACTAAAAATGTTGAATAATTTTATTATTTTTCTAATATTTTCTTTTATTTTTGCAATTTTCTTAGTTTTTGTAAAATTATATAAATACTTTTAATATCTCGGTGAACTATTCCATGGGCATGAAGTACAGCAACCGCAAGAAGCATCTGATTTGTATATTTTCGGACTAATGTTTCAGGTAATCCAATTTCACTTCCAGCAACCAAACTTTCGAGGGTGCCTTCCGCGCAAAATTCCATGAATATCAACATTTCCTCCTAAAAAAAAGAATCAGAAATTTAATCCTATTTTATGCTCTTTGATTTATATTTTTTGTATTGTACGAAAAAATATTTGTTTGTTAGTAGCAGCATAACTTTTTTAACTTTTAATAATTTGAAAATTAATAATACTTACCCTGTGAATCTCCAAACCATAATAACGCACCAAATGTTGATGTTGAATCCCTTCGAAAATTTGAAGCTCTTCTACAATCCTTTTAATAGCTCTGTGATCACCAGGTTGAAGTTGAACTTCTTTCATGGCTAAAAGCTCTCCTGTTTGATTGTTAACAACAGTATAAACTTTTCCAAAACGCCCCTGTCCTGTTAAAATTAAATTAAAAAATATTACTTAACTTTCTTTATTAAATATTTTAAATATTATTTTTTAATTTCTTTCAAACTATTTTTTTTCTTTTTTTTTTAAATACAAACCTATTTTAATTCCTCTTTGCCAAGTGAAAGTGACACGTTTAGCTTTAATGTGAATTTTGTCAACACTTTTCCTGTCAGTAATTTGTCCAATTAGCTCGTGACTTTTCAATTTCTCATTTATGAGAACCTCCAATTTATGCACAGCTTGTAGAACCCTTTCTTGTCTTGTAAACGTATTCTCGGAAGTCGTCGGGCTTCCATCAACGGCAGTTTGCGATGACGATTTCTTCATTAAGCCAAAAATTTCCGGAGATTTCAAATAATCTCGAGTTTTTTGATTGAAACTCGATGTCCGATTTCGTCCCTGTGAGGGCGATGATGCACGCGAATGTGATAATTTTTTCATAACTGAGAAACAAAAAAATTCCTTAAATAACTGCAAAGTTTAAAAAATCTTCAAACAAAAAATTTTCTTCATTAAATATTAATTAAATTAAAGTTAATTAAAAAATAAATTGATTTCTAAAATACAGTATTTGATTAAACTAGAGTATTAAAATTATTTTCGAATATAAAGAAAAATACCTTCGCCTTCTGAATTAATTCCCGGTGAGGAAGCACTGCCAATAACGTGAGAAATGCATCGATCCATACACGATTTTAATTCTTCGAATTCATCGTCAGTCAGATGTCTCGTATTTAGTGGTTCACAAACAGTCATTAAATAATCCAAACCCTGATTTGCCCATCTTGGTCGTAAACCTCGCCCACGTTCACATCGATTTCTCACAAAATTCATCCACAAAAAGGCAAAATCAACCAAATCACGAACAAGAAGTTCTCTTTCTTCCGATAAAAATAAACGGCAAAGTTCTTTATGATATTCAAATCCCATTCGATATGCTTGATGTAAAATTTCTCTGACTCTCGTTCGAAATGCCAAAGAATCAACCTCAATAACTTCTATTGGTTCTTTTACTTTATCGATTTTATTTTGAAACTCTTGAATCACCAAAACTATTTGTCCTCTTAAATCTAAGACAGCTTCCTGCAAAAAGTAACATAATAATTTAATAATTTCATTTAAAATTATAATTTTTGTTATTTAATAAAATTACAGACCTTTAGTGAAACGATGCATGATTTTAAATCATCATTAAATTCCGGCCAATTTTCAATTTCACGTCTTACACATTTGGCGAGATTGACAGTTTTTACGACATTATCACGAGCCTTCACGAACATTCCCTGCCATTCACGACCAACTGACATCCAATGAAATCTTAAAATGAAAAATTCATTACTTTAAATAAGAAATCAACAAAATTAAAAATATTCGAAAATAATTTCTCACCTTGTCGACCATTCCTCATCTTCCTTAGACAATTCGATTTCATTCAGTTCTTCAGGTTTCTCAGTTAGAAATTGTACCACTTGTCTTATCATCATTTGAACAATTTCACTAAATAAAAGAAAATTCTATTTAAATATAAAAAATATCTCTAAGAAAAAGTATATAAAAGTTTTGAAAATAAAATACAAAAATTATTGATGAATAATTACCAAAACTTTTTTCCAGCAATGTAATAACCATCAACAATATCAGGAGCGATTGATTTAACAAAATTCCATTCCTCCATGATTAGGTTTTTATGAAAACTATCATGATTCACCATTTCGACCCATTGTTTCAAATAATCGAGATAAACTTCAAAAAATGCTTTTAAACTGGCATCAAATTCATTTAATTCTTGTTGAAAAGATGCATCTCTTTCTTTTTTATCACAAGTCATAGCTACGAGAGAATGTCTTGCAAATCGATCTCGATGAAGACATGCAATTCTAAGACCCTCGCGAAGTTCTCGCATCAATTGACGAACTGATAATGGACTTGGTTGTTCTGGTTTTTGTTCCAGTCTCATTCTCATAAACTCATGAATAACATCCAATGGGACGCGTGATAAAAATAAAAAAGCTGCTCTAAAATAAATTTAAATACATACACATCAAATGATATAATGTTGATTTAGAAACAATTTGCGCGTCAAAAATAAATATTAATTGTTGGAAATATATTAAAATACCTGTAAGAAGGTAAATTTAATTCCATAGCTTCTGGACTCCAAGCTCCAAAACGTCTTAATTCATCATCGCCTTCATATTCTTCAGTTCCACTACTATCGTAGTCTTCTTGATGTTTTTCTAAAGACAGTCTTGCTTTTCGAAGAAGTGTTGTGTGCAGTCTTTCCAAAAAATTTAAACTTTTCCTCAATCCCCTTGTTTTTAAAACATCCTCTATATATTTCCTATTGAAAATAAAAAATTTTTAAATAAAAATCAAATCTTATTTGATAATATAATAATAATTATTAGAATTTTTCATACCTGTAAGCTTGACGATCAAACTCCATTAAGTAAAAATCAAGTCTCTCTAATTTTTCATCTTCCGTGTAACTAAAAGCGGATTCTGATGAAGAAGAATATGTCCTTCCAAACGAGACACCACTGATGGAAGACGAATGTGATGTATTACTATTGTTACTATCAGATGGACTCGTATTATCATCAGTAGCAGGCACTTCAAATCGAACCAATGATGGACGTTGCTCCATCGAATGATCACTATTCGTATTGTGCGATCTAAAAATGTAAAAACCACTGTGTTGTATACTCAAACGAAGATTAATTTCTAAATTTAATTTACACAAAAAACTATATTAAAAAAAGAGAAAAGTAAAAAAAAGAGTAATCATACCCGAAACCGCTGTCAGTATTATCGTCATGTTTCTTTTTCGTGTGTAACAACATCAATAATTTTCCCAATATTAATAATTTGAGTCGATGTTGACGAGTCATATTGTACCTTTAGTAAAATTTAATTAATCAATTAATCCACATTATCAAAATTTATCTACATAAAAATTCAATCTAATAAAATTCGATTTACTAAAAAGTTACGATTAATAATTTTTAGTTTCTAATATTCAAAAACATTATTTTCATACATACCAGAGACACATGGCTTTTACTCTGCCAGTAAATTCGAGACTTTTACTGAGTGGATATTGACTTGCAAAAGCTTGCGACGATGGAAAAAGTGTTTCCGCAGCCTCAAGTCGCGCAAGTAATACTTCAACTTGTTTCAAAGCGTCGATTTGAGTTCGAACACAAGCTCGGCAATACATAGAGAGACATCCAGAACAAACGGTGTACTCGATATTGTTGGGTGTAGTTAAAAATTTACAGGATTCCTCATCGTTTGTTGAAGCTGATCCACAGGTATTATTGATATTCTCGACTATACAATATCTGTTAAAATACAAAATTTTACATTAATCCGAAAATTTTCTCTTTTTTTAATTAATGAAAAAAATAATTCAGTAAATTAAAAATTATCTCTCACCGATATTCGAGTATTTCCCTAAGTAATGGACCAACAGCTTCTCGTTGTTTACAAAGAAATTCATCTTGAGCCATGGGACTTCGATCTGCTTTATTAGCTTGTAATTCAAGCCAAATTAAATCTTTCAATTCGTTTTGCCATCTCGTTTCTTCTCTACTCATTTGACGATGGCAATTGTTTCGTTCTTTGTCCGAACTTCCCTAAAAAAAGAATTAGAGCAAGCAAATATTAAATTAATAATATTAATATTAAATAACTAAGGAACAAAAATAAAATTAAATAATAGATTCGTACGAGTTTTATCAGAAATGAAAAAGTGTCATGAAACAATTCTCTCTCCTTGAGACTTTGGGTCCGAGGAGAATGAAGAGCCGGTTCGGTTTCAGTGATGCTTAGAAGTTCCTTGTCCTGAGATTCATTAAACTTCTCCTCTACATCAACTGGTTTCGAACACAGACTTCGAAATCTATTTCGAGTCTCAATCTGTAATAGATAATTATTTTGAATTAAAGCCAAGATTTGATTTGAACGAAAGAAAGGTCATTATACCATTTTCTAAATTAAAATTATATATTAATCTTTAATTGTTTATTTAATATTTATAGTCTTAATTATTAAATTAAAATATTACTTTAATATTATTAGGAGTAGGAGGCATTGCTTCATCGTTTCTGTCAAGTTGTGCAGCTGCAATATCAAGTTTTAAATCTTTATCAAATCCTCGAAGTAATTTTAGACATCTTTTAACTTTTCGACATCCTTCTTTAGCTAATTCCTTTTTTGTTTCATTATCGCGAACAATGTCGGCCTTATCACACATTTCATTGAAAATCATTGCATCCAAACTACTCTGTTGACTTGAATTTAATTTACTCTGTATAACCTTTTCGCATTTAGCGAGACTGAAAAATAATTTTTTAATTATTTATTGTAAATAGAAAAGTTTTTAAATAATTTTTTTTATGTAAATACACACATTCTACATTCACGATGCTTTTTACGATTATGTCTTTTTGAATGACGTGATTTTCCATTATCCTTTTGATCAGCATCGTCTGTCATGTTCTCTGACAAGTTTGTTGTTTCAACAGAAGGATCACATGTGTTTTGACTGAAAATAAATTCATTCTCGTGTTATTTCCGATCTTCAAAAATAGTTATATTATCTACAATATTGCAATCAAAAATTTATTTCATATAATTAATATCACAATATCATCATAATTGTAATAATTTAATAAATATAATTCATTTTCCTTATGTAATTTAAAAACTATAAAATATGTATAATAATTAAATTTTAGTTTTCAAACTAACTAACCTACAATAAAAAATACTTTTATAGGTTAGTTGAATTTACAAGTAGCAATTGTATATTCAATAAATAAAAAAAGACAAACTGCAAAAACAATGAAAAACAAAACATGATAATGATGTAGTGATAATGACTTGCGAATAGAATTCGTACTTTACCTTAAATCAATAAACTTTGCTAACTGTGCATTTATCATACGTTTCATTGTTTATAAATAGTACGTTAACTTATAATTTGCAAAAATAAATCAATCACTTGGTACACTTTTATGGAATTTACAAAATTTAACTGTAAATTCGTTGTCAGGAACACTACATGTATAAACTATATGTGCCGGGATACTGTGTTTAGGTTAGGAACATTCTTGGAATATTTTCAAGGAGATTTGCATATAAATCAGAATGTAAATAACACTAATGAGAAGTAAATACCGCGTTTTTTAAGAACAATAAATTTCAAAGTTTGTTACATCATTCTGAAATTTAAAAAAAAAATTGAAAATATTTACCTGTTGTAGAAATTATACTTCTGTAAGTTATTCTTCTTTAGAATAATATTTTCCTCGTCTTTTGAGTTGTTACAATTGATTGACATTTCCTATTTATAATTACATATTTATTCGCGCACAAAAATAATTATTTGTTTTCACTGCATACGTTGCACACCTTTACGTCACTTTCTTTGCCAGTTTTTTCCCCAACTATAATATTTCATTTTCTAATATTGGCAACCCTGTATTTAGGAGTTTGAATTTCAAAGTCACGTGATGCCTCTCTATTTTTTCTATTTATATAAATATTTCTTCTTATTTCATTATTATATCTGAAAAGCGATATTAAAAAATTTATTTTAGAATTCATAATAATGAATAAACATCATTTAATTCAAGCTATAACCTTAAATTTTTGTATTTTAAAAGAAAATGAAATATGTTTCGGATTTAAAAGTATGAATTTCATTGGACGAATAGGGAAATATTTGTCCAATGAAATAGGGGCATTTATTCCTGAATATTTAAAATTTTACCGCCATTAGTTCTTTCAAAATACAAAAAACGTAACAGATACTAAATTAAAATGTAGTATTTAATTAATATTAAAACAATAATATCTCAATATTAGTTGAATTATAATTCAGCTAATATTGAATATTATTGTTCTAATCATTTTAAATATACATAAAAGCACACTGACCTTAATTTGCGATTATTCTTTCACGGGGAAAAAAAATTACATACAACATTCACTCATTTTACGTGCGTCACTTTCAATTTTTATCATCGTAGAAAATCTGTAAAATATAGAAAGTAAATAATACATTATTATACTAAATTACATAATGCTTTTAAACATTTATTGATTAGTATTTTATTATATATATTAATATAGTCAATATTTTTATCTTTTATATGAATATATATAAGTAATACTGAGCATAAATTATAAATAATATTTATATTATAATAAAAATAATAATATAAATATTATTACAACAAATAATAACACCTCATGTTCTCTGCTGGAAGTTTTAAACTAATTATTCAAGAATTGAAAAAACAAAATAATATTTAATAAATTTATTATTAATTATTTTAAAATATCAAAAAATTTTTAAAAATCAAGCAATTAATTATTTAAAATTAAATTAATTATTATTTAAACAAATTTGTTTATGAATAATAATTGTGTAGAATGTATAAAAAAAATGTGTAATAAATACAAAAAAAAAATTGTATTTCGATTAGGAAAAGGTTATGATGAGGATTTTAAGGTATTGATTATTAATATAATCAATATATGCGGTATTAGTTTTATTTAAACAATCTCTAGCCTTTCCAGCAAAGTACAAGTATAATTTTCATATATATCCTCGCACCAACATTTTTCTTTTAATTTACAGTGTCTTCCGTCTTTTTTTTTTTTTTTTTTGTTATTTTCACCAGCGTGCGTGAATTTTCTTTTATCCCAACAATATAATAACTTTATTAATATACGAATTATCGTAAAACAACAGTTAAAATATTGAATAAAAGAAAAATCAAAACTTTCATTTATGGCCGTTTAAATATATATTGACTTTCTCTCCCATTGAAACGTATTTCAATATGTAAAAAAAGTTTCTTCACTTTTTTCAAAAAATGAAAAATTGGAGAATTTTTTTTGCTATGGTGGTTAACTCACGACAATCACTGTCAAAAGTTAAAACTAAAAATTTTATTGAAGAGTTTAAAGTTCTTTAGTTTAATATTTTTATGTAAAAAAATCAATTTTTCTTTTTCATACCGATTTATAAAAAGAAAAAATATATCTTTAAAATCTCAAAATTAACTTTTAACAGAGATTGTCGCATCTAAACTACCTTAATAGGAGAATAAAAAATCTAATTTTTTTTTTTTTTTGCACAGCAGTGACAAACGTTGTAAAAATTCAGTTTTTAAAATTACATTTTTCATTTATAAATATAGTAATTATTTTGTTTTTTAGATAAAAATAATTCATCATATTTGGAAAAATGTTAGGCGTTCGATCAATGTTTATTTACACGTAGTACGATATTGCATTGCAATTTTCTATGTCCGCACTATTTATATATATATACTATTTAAGAAGACGAGTTTTGTATTTGGACGCATATAAACTTTAATTCGATGAATTACTTAAGTACCGTTCGGAAAAAAAATTTTTTCTTTTTTTATCAAAAATTTCGCTGTTTTGCTTCCAATATATAATATATCAATCTATTTTCTATATAAAAAAATTCCTCTTTTTTGTATAGTCGTAGCAAAGATAAACAATTCACAGTAGAGTTCGTCTGGAATGTTTTATTTTCAATTTTTTTTTGTTAATAGTTTTAAACTTTCAAGACGACGGTAGAAAAAATATTTGTTTTGTTTTCCTGTTAAAAAAAAAGAAAAAAAAAACACTTTGCGGAACAGTTCAAAAGATTTTTTAAAAAAAGTTTCCTTTTTTTTGTCGATTTAAATTTCTACATTAATTTGTAGAAAAATGAAACGACCATAGTTGACATTTAATAGTATTTCAATAACACTGCTAAACTGTAAACATTAATATTAATATAATAATAATATAATAATATAATAATAATAATATAATAATAATAATAAGACTACTAATTTGTAAATATTACTATTAAATATAATGAAAAAATATCTATCGTTATTTCATTTGATAATGCTTTTTTAAATTTCTTGTTCACGATTGTAACGAGTGGTGGTTTTGATAATACTACAATTGATGAATAATAATTATCGACGGACATTCGGACAATTTTTTTTTTTTTTTTTTTAATTCTGATCAATTCGGATGTCATTTGAATTTCATTGATCGCTTGTATTTCATGAAGAAATGACAATTGGCAGCATTTATAAAACGCTTAGTTGGTACATTTTTTTATTCAGAATTGTAAATTTTTTGAAATAATTCGATTCAAAAAATAAACTACTTTTCCTTTAAAGATTCGCAGTAGTTTTTTTGTGTTAAAAATGATTTCTTTTTTTTTTTAATGACGAGCCGTTTATTCTGTTAAAAAAAATAGCACACAGAGTACCAAACCGCCACGTCGTTTTCTTCCATTCATTCTTTTTTTTATTTTCTCTTGAAAATTCTTTGCGCTCTCACATATGCAAACATACATTCTCTCTCTTTCTCTCTTTTTTTTCTATCGTACATATAAGTAACTAGTACTAATATGTATAATCAATAAAGGCCACGAGTGTGATCGATATAAAATCACTAATTAGTAAATCGTATTCCGAACGTGCTAATAATGTAAAAACAGGACATGGTGAGCTCGCGTATAGTGGAAATTTTCTCATTAGCGTTTCAATTTTTCCCAAAAATTTGTCTCTATTTTAAGAGTATTTTTCTAAAACTCTTGTTTCTTTTTTTTCAGATTCTATATTTCCAAAATTTTTTCTCTAGATTTCTTTTTTTTCAAAATTCTTCGTCTTTCTTTAACTTTTCAAATATATTTCTCGCATTCCCACTGAACTTGAGATTTCACCATGCAAGAAAAAATCCTACGAGGCATTTTTCTCAATTATTATATATTGATCTATATATATATAAAAATCCTTTCTTTTGATATTGAATATCACTTTGTTACAAAATCGATTGCCTCCAGTAGAAATCTCGATTCTATAATTCTATATTCGCAAAAATTTCCCTCTTGATTCCATCTTCTTCTCTACGTACATACAACAATACGTACAAAGTCTGTAAAAGTAGCTAATAAAGATTTGTTATTTAAACAAACAAAAAAAACCCATAAAAAAAACCAACAGGCAGTGCAAATCGTGTTGCTGGACGTAATCAAGGAAAAGTTCGCAAAAAGAATACTTTTCGAGAATACTGGCACACCTTCAGGAACACGTTTCGTTATAGAAAAAAAAAAACACAAAAAAACAAATCTAAAGTGATTTCACCGATAAAATTTAACATCAGCGATTGTCGTTCAAAAGTCTCGGAAAAAATGTGATAAAAATATTTTTCCAAGTGTCTGTAATTTTGTTTTTCGCAAAAATATTGCTGCTTCTCCTTCCTTGGATTAATGTGGAAGACTGAATTTTATATTCGCTCGATGCTTCGACAAATAAATAGAATCATTGTCGAGAATGGAGATGTTTGTTTAGACCATTAAAACAAAAAAAAAATGCTATCGTAGAAACTGCATGCATGCGATCGGGTCAATATTTGTCTCGGATGATAAAGTGTTGCTTAGTAGTTTTTTTTTTTTTTTTTTGGAAAAAAATAGGAAATAAAAATTTAAAAATTTACATGTTCTCGAATTGATCAACACGACGCTTGGTGTTTCCTTTGCGAATTTCGCGCAAAGTTTTGTACTTGTCACGACCTTGGCGAACGTTTTCTCTGTGAATTTTGTCCATCACCGTCTCTTTTGTTTCGTCACGTGATTGAGCGAGATCGTGTTTCAATGCCTGAATAGAAAAGAAAAAAGAAAATTTATTTTTTATTGTGAAACTCAATTGTTATAATAATCTGATTTTATTATTAAAAAATGAAATTTGCTTTTACCTTCAATTGACAATGAAGACGTTCACTTCTTTCTTCGAGAGTACGTCTCTCCTCAACTGGATCAATTATCGACTCATCGGTGATGAGGTCTTTTGTCACATCTCTGTGTCTTCCTTCGTATTCGCCCTCTTCCTCCTCACCCTCTTCTTCGTTTTCTTGAACGTGATGATGAAGAGGTGTTGTTGCTTTCGCCTGGAAAGCTTTGTCAGCTTCCTCTTGTCGCAATCTGAATAAAAAAAATGAAATTATTTGTTTATCCAATTTTTGTGATTTAAATTTCAATTTAAAATTTATTTTATTACCTGGCGGCCTCAACCTCTTCCTGTAACCTTCTAGCCTCAGCATCCTTCACTTCTACTTCGGATTGAATGCGATGGACCTCCTCTTGTTTGTCTCTAATCTCTTGTTCAAGTTTGGCTCGCTCGGCGGCTTCCATTTCATTCGAACGCTCCAATTTCTCCATCATTACAGTCAGTTCCTGATAATTAATTCATTATTAGTTATAATTGTTACAACACCCTTAGTTACATAATAATTACTATTACAATTATTAATAATTATTTTTTATTTTTTACTTGTAAAAATTCAATTTACATGTAATTAATTCAAGTCAAATTTTGTTTAAAAAAATAGTGAATTTACCTTTTGACGATCTTCCAATTCTTCTTTAGCAGCTTGCAATTGTCGCAATTGCTCTTCGAGACGACGAATCATTTCTTGCGCTTCAGTTAATTCGGCATTTCGCCTTTGAATTTCCTCGGCCATATTCCTCAGCCTCTCTTCATATTCCTGTTGTTTTTTCTCAGCGCGTTCTCGGGCTGCAATTTCGAGTTGAAGTTTTTCTCTTTGCTTCTCACGTGCTATCTTCTCCTCTTTCGCTTGAGCCTAAAATTTAATAATAGTAGTTAGAAAAAACGCAATTTAATAAAAAAAAAAATCGAATTTACTAAAACTTACTTTCATCTGTTGAACGTCAATGGTATCGGGTTTACGTCGACGCATATAGAGTTCATGATTTCCCATGCAAAGAGACAAAATCCTTTTATTGATCTTGACACGTGGTGCTAGGAAAACAAAGTCCGGTGCCTTTTTGTCAATTGGTTTGATCATGAATTTTTTGTCATGGAATGAAATATTTCTTATTTCCGACCAGGGAAAACCAATTTTTGGAGTGAGTTTGTCATTTTTCTCATAGATATTCAAACCCAATGCGTCAACTCCTAACCAGAGTTCAGTTTCCTTTTTATTACGAATCTCGAAGTAATTGACGCCATACATTTCCAAATCCTAAAATATAGAAATTAATCAATAGGAAATATATTGAATTGTAAAATTAATTAATTAAAAATCTAATTAAAATTAAATAATTAATATTCAATTAAATTAAAAATACATACTTGAGCAATTTTCAAGTATTCCATCATCGCATCTTCGCGAATCATACCACGGTGTTCCTGCCACCAATTAGTAATAGAGGTTTCCCATTCTTCTTTACTCATTTTATGTTGGTCCATGACACGCTGCGGAAGCAGACGGTCATTTGACAAGAAACCTATTGTATGGAATGCCTTATTGTAATCATTGTATCTTGCTTGCACTGCATAAGAAGCGAGAAGAACAGACGTCTCGGGTGGACAATAAATATCGTCAGTGAGGATGGAATTTTTCACCTACAGAAAATAACAATATTTTTTAATAATAAAATACATTTTTCATTTTCCAATTAAATTTGAAATGTTCTTGTCAATTACCTGAAGATAGAAAAGGCGCAAAGTTATATCCTGGATGAGTTCCTCGGAAACATCCTCGGGATAGAATTTGGCACGAAATTTGAATTGAAGTGGATTCTCCTTTTTCACTTCTTGATTGATCACCTGAAAATTGTAACCAAATGTTAATTATATTATTCTTGTCAATAAACGTATAAAAAAGAAACGCGTGTGATTTAAAATAAAATTAAAATACATTTGTGTTTTTTGTTCATTTTAAAATAATATTGCTGCATGCTATAAAGAAAAACAATCTCTGAAATATATACACACAAAGTGCAAACACAGAGTAAAAAAAGAATTACTCCTCGTCTTGACATTTCAAATCAATTTCATGTTTTTCGTCTAAGGATAGATAAAGACAAACACAATTTCCTGCCAGTGTCGTAAACTTTAGAAATAGAAGTGCAAGAAGCTAAAATAATCTTGAAAATATTTTGAGAGATGAATAAATCAATCTCTTTAACTTCCTCTCGTAATTACTTTTTTAAGTTAAAACCATTAATGTTACGATAATTAATTTTTTATAAATTTATCTACACAAATTAATTAGTTAATTAACAACACAATCGAAAAAATAGATTTTTAATAAAATTTGTAATTTGATAACAATATTGCTTCCTTTATAATAAGATAATATGCAATTTTATTATAATTAATCATAGACACTTTGTTGAGGCAAAACTATTTGCAAGTCTTTTTTTTACAATAAAAAAAGGAGCTAATTCTTTTTACAAAAAAATGTCACCTGTTTGACTTTTCCAAGTTTGCCTTGACTCAACGTTGTAGTTCAATGCTAGTGCCATGATTTTTCATATTTATTAATTAGCCATGTTGCGTAACATATGACTGATAATAAGAACTTGACGGAAGGAAGATGTTGTAAAAAAAAAATAGCGTGCTTTATAGAAAAAAGTGTTAACACACGAGACAGACTAGATTTTTTAAAAAAAACATCTACAGCTTCCTGGTAACTCAAATAATATAGAGAAAAAAAAAATAATTGTAAACGACACAAACAAGCAAAGCTAGAAAAAACATATACTATAGTGAATAATTCTATTATTTCATTTTTATCACCTAATTAGTTCCATCAGTTATCATTTTACAGCTTCTTGTTTAAACCGTTTGAGAAAATAATAATTTTTACAATAAAAATACTAAATTTATCATTTATAGAATAAAAAAAATAATAAGATAAATAATAATAAAAAATTTGAATAAATAAAATTTTGGACAAATTGAATCCGCGAAATTTTAATTAACATTTTAATAAGTTAATTTAAATTAATTTATTGAAAGCCAAATTTTATAGTCTAATATTTTCAATTAGAGCTCATTAATAAATAACAAAACGGACTAGTTATTAGTAAACAGATTTATATAATACATTAATGATTTGAGATTTGTATATGTATATATTTTTTTTTACTTTTCAATTCTCTATCACGTGTAAAATCCACAGGAAGCTTTTACATATATCTTTATAATTGATCGTTAACATCTTTGTTAAAATTGAATGCTCAAAAACAAAACTAGTGTCTAAAATTTTCAATAACAAATGTGAATTTATTTTTCATGACAAAAACAGTGAATAATTTTTTTTTAATTTAAATCTTACATTGCTGAATTTGCGATGCTTGAATGGAACCACCTGCAATCATTTTACATTTTTTCTAAAAAGAACTAGTCTTTTTTTATTTTATAAATATTTCTCTATTTTATTTATCAAAGAAATAAATTAATTATATATTCATTATTATTTAATTTATATTGGTTAAAAAATAGAAAAATTTGTTTTTATAATCATTTTTTTTTTGAACTTTATTTTTTTGCATTAAAAAATAATCTTCTTTATAATGGGAATATTTTAATATAGACACGAAATGAAAATTTATCACGCGCAGGTCACTATACATTGAGATAATAAAAAATCTAATCAAATAATAATATTATTATTTGTTCATGCATTTTCACACTTGTTATCAAGTTTGTTAATAATCTTACCCTAGACAAGAATGAAAGTCCAGCCTTCCAGTTGTTAAATATAGTGATGTGCATGTGTTAAAAACAAGGAAAATACGAAACAGTTAACGTATGCAGGAAAAGTGATTCACTGGCATTCTTTTTTTTTTTTTTTTTTTTTAACAATTTCTGTACGTTTATCATTAAAACATTATACTCGTTTGGAAACTTATTTTGCATATATATGCATTAATAATTAAAAATATGCTCATATAATAAAATTTTTTTTCTATATCGAGATAAACTTACAGAAAATATTTGAAATAATTTTAAATTAATATTAATAAGAATAGAAAATCGAAAAAACAAAATGTATTAAACAATTTCACCAACAAGAAAATGTATATTATTATTGTTATCATGTAACATAATATGTTATCTATTTCATTCTCTGATGTCAATTAGAGACACGAAAAGTATTTCAGTTAATCTAATCTTCCGTTTTTGTCATAAAACTTCAAACAGAATTAGCTTAACAATTTTCCTATATAAAGAATAACATTTTTTACAACAACCATTAATGATAACTGACAAGAAAAAAAGGTCATGGAAAATTGCAACATATTTATATATACATATAATATATTAATATTTAAAAAAAATTCTTATCGAAAAAAGTGATATATCGACTTCTTATATTGCTATTACAAATTTCTTTAGAGATATATTGCATATTAATTTTCTCACTGGGGGCTAATTATTGTCGTCTGCGTGACGAATCCACACAGTGCCTTAATCATTTACAATCACACAATCATTAAACTTTCTTATACTAAACCTGCCAAGACTCCTCACTAATTGCTTTGATAAAATTTTCTCATATAACAAGTTTATAATACAAATATAATTGTCGAATTAATTTAATGTTCGATTATATTTCAAAAATGTCATATTATATCTAAACAAATTAATTTACAAATTAATGTACAAATTAATTTATAAATTAATTTAATCATAATTAATTAATTAATTAATTACATAATTAAATAAATAATTACACTGAGATATTTATTATAAAATTTAGTAAGTAATAAAACGTAATTATATTTATTAATGTTAAATAGATTTATTAAAATTTAAAAAAAAATATAATTTTTCAAAAAGATATTAAGATTCTGAATTCTTGATTCAATATAATATAAAATAAATCAAGAAAGAAAAATTTAATGGTCAAGTAATGTTGGAGCTTGAGAATTTATTTAATTAAGAGGGTCATTCACCGCTCAACAAAGCGCTCTATGATATTATTCGCACGTGGATAATTCAGTCACGAGTAACATCACTATATAATCATTTACCATATATGATCTATTCAATCATTTGTAAATATATTTGTCAATAAAATTTTTTTCTTAAATAATTTTAGAAATTCTCAATTTATAATTTATTTTTCTCAACACGAATAGTATTTTGAGAAATCATCGCTTTGTCTCCTTATTAAAAAAATTAATGTAATAATTATTAAATGATAATAATAAATAAAAATGGAATAATTGGAAAAATTTATGATTCACGAGAAAGTCACCAATAAATTAGAGAAAACCATCAAATCGAGAAGAATTAATAATTATAGAAAAACGATTAAATTATAACAAATTGTAGAAGAATCAATTATATAAGAAAATTGATCAGATCATTTTTTCAGAAAAATGATGAATCATAGAGGAAAAATTACCAATTGAATAAAAATAAAATAATGGTAATTTTATTAAATTAATTAATAAAAGGAAGAAATAGCAAAACATAAGAAAAATCCTTTATAAGCTAAAAGGATTAAATAACGATAGATAATAATATTTTCTAAAACGATCGAAGATTGTAGAATTCAATGGCCTTTTGATATTATACAGTCTCGTGTTGTTAATATTACAATGAAAAGTAAAATGTGAGCAAAATTATCCTATTTGAGAGACGAAAAATCATCTTCTTTTAACCTATGCGAGAGTATATAATCGTACAGAATCCTAGTGTGGTACCCATCATTACGCAAGAGTCCACAGTCCATTGAAGAGAACGCACCTGTATATGACCAAAGAGACGTTCCATTCCTAACTCAATTCTCGAGGTCGAATAATCTACCTATTTCTCCAGGACTGTCTCAAGAAAATCACCTTTAAAGGTTCACACTTTTCCATGTCAATTGGAATCTCACTTGAAAATTTCACACATGTCTCTATTTGAAAAAAGAAATCTAATTAATCCAATTTTTATCTAAAAATAAAAATCACAAATTATTATTTATTAATAAAAGAAACAACCTTAATAATTAAGTTGATAAAAATGTAAAAAAAAAATTGGTATTATATATATATATATTAAAAACAATGGTATTTGCAAAAAAAACGAAAATTTTTTTGTGTGTGAAAAAAGGAACTTTTTACAGACAAATTTGTCGATCTGACAATGGAGAAAAATTTCTCTCTATTAAGATGGGGATTTCGTTTTTAGTATAAAAAGGAATATAATGGATATATGCAAAACAAAAGAAGTAATAAGAGAAGCAGTGGGTTATCATTGGAACATATAGGAGACAACTTCCCATACAAGTCTATTGTTATACCGGTTTTTCTACCCACACGATCTTCAAAGGTTGACCACCCATAACACATATTCTCCCATGGAATATAATGCATATAAGTGAGAATAATAATTCAACAATAAATTTCCAAATGGAAATAATCTCACAAAATTTCTAATCAATCGAAAATCTTTAAAAAAAGAGATCAATAAAAATTTTAATAAATCCTAATTTAAAAGACAAATAAAATTTATTTGAAACAAATATTTGGTTTTTTTTCCATCTTAGAAAATAAAAACGAATTGGAATGTGAAAAAAATATCGAGAGTGATTTATTTGTTCCTTTTAACAAAAATATAGCGAAAAAATTGGTACTGATACTGTTGGCATTTAAAGAGGTTTTATATACAACAGAGAACGGAAACTGTTACGAAGGCTGTCATTGCAGCGTTTTCTTTTATGCGTAAGCCATCTATTAGTACAAAAGCTGGATTTAAGTATTATTATTATAATAGACAGGTTACGTACAACTTCATTGCAATAATTTTCAAACAAGAACAACTGAATAAGGATCATATAGCTTATATTGATCGCCATAACCGGATCTTATTTTCAAAATATATTCAAATCCAAATAGAAAAAAATATTTTTAAACATTTCTAAAATATGCAAAGAAATTTAATTTTTTATTTTCTTACTTCCCGTTTTACAGTTGCTTTCTAAAAAAAAAAAAACAAATTTATCGTACAAAATTCTCTTTTTAGTTAGATTCAGTTTCTATAATTAAACTCGAAGAAAAAATAAAAAAAAAAAACGATTGTACTCTAAATCGTCATTGAAACTTTGAAATAACTTCTGAGTTTAAACTTTTATGATAAAATGCTCAACACTTTAGAAACGTCAGAGTCTAATAAAAGATATAAGATCAGCATCCAAAATTTATTGGATGCTAAATAGACAAACAAGAGTCACGAAACAAATTTACTTTATTTTATGTAAACAGTTACCGTAAAATTCAAACAATGAAAATCTTTTTTTAATCTTACTGCAATAAATTATTTCCTTTAAAATTTAATTTTATTGTCAACAAAATTTTGAAAAAAAAAATTTAATTTTTTCACAAACATTTAATTTATCAGTATATATATATATTGCATATCGTATACACGCGTGGATTAAAGTTCAAAGTATTTAATAAAAGTGACAATTAAAAAACAATACACTACACTAGTTATTTCAACTATCATCATTCACAATTAATTATTAGGCTGAAAATGATTTTCAAAAAACAAATGTTAATGTTTGAACTACATATAATTATTTTATTATTTAAAAATTGATTTTTCGCTTTAAGTTTAAAAAAAAGAAAAAAACAAATAAGATTAAAAATAATATTAAAAAATAAAAAAATAAAATGATAATATAATTGAAAATACGAAGAGCAATTTATTATAAAAGTTATCATATTAAAAAAAAAAATAAAGAAAACATTTAAAAGATAAAATAAAAATTCATTGGACAGGTTGTTGGTTTCTTGTGAATCATATAGGCATTGTACTATATTCAGTCTGAGTTTTTATGCCGTAAAAAGAACAATCGTTAAAATAAGTCACGAGTTAAAAGCGAAGTACGTGGGCCAGTTTTCTCTATGTTAAGATAAGACAATCGTAATTAATTTTTTCAAATAACATTTTCTTTATTTAAAGAAATTAATTTTGCAATTAATTATTACTTTATTAGAAGTTATTCATTTTTTCAAAATTTTCTAGATAAATTTGTGTTTTTATTATTATTATTATTATTATTATTTAAGATTAATAAAGATATAAACTTGTTATATATATTCAGAATAAATCCTATGTAAATTTATAAAAAAAAACTTTTAAACTTAAATGGATTTTCTTTTTTGGTATAATTTATTATGATCTAGAAATAACAAGATTTGCATAATACAAAACATGGTAATCCTTTAAAATTACTAAAAACTTTACTATATATTCATATATGTATGATTTTTTGAAATAAAAACAGAAAAAATTCTGTAAAAATATAAAAAGAAAAAAAATTCAAATTTTACTAAAAATAAAAAGCGAATTTGCAAATTTTTCTCAATGTGTAAAAATAAAGAGAATCATAAAAATAGACAATTACTTCTGTGAGTTGTAGTCCAAGGAAATAATAATAATAAATTTTTTTTTTTATAATGAGAAAATGAACTCGAAGTTTCGAAGGAAAAAAAAAGATTATGAAGATATATATGATATATATTAAAGAAACTTATTACAAAACAATCTATAATTTTTAAAAAATATTAATTTGAATCATATTTATTTTGAATTACTTTTTTTTATCTATTTACTTTTGTTTTCTACGTTAAACCATGATAACAAGTTAATTAGAAGATCCCTTTAGTGCTATTATAACTCAGGAAAAGCATTTAAAGCTAAATGAGTAATTATAGAAGTAAATTTAACTAAGTGTTATTATCTTTCCTGTGGCAGTAAGTCATTTAAGAACATAAGTTTTTTTTTCTTTTTTTCTTTCTTCTATATAACCTTTGAACTGTCACATTTAAAAATCATTTACTAACAATTCAATTTTACAATAATGCTTATACTGATGAGCAAATTCATTCTATGGAAATTACTTTTTAAACCTTTTATCTAAATAGATAAATAATTTTCTCTGAAAAATAATTGAAAAAAAAAATATTGAAAATTATTAACTATTTTTTATTATATTTTAAATTAATTAATTTTTTTGCTAATTTTTATTTTTAGAATGAGCAATTTTTTTTGTATCCAGTAATTGTATATTTTTCATTAATTGAATTAGTTTCAATTAATTGAAATTAAATAATAGCCTATATTGGATGGAGTAGGGGTAAAGAGGAAATGAAATCCTCAGCTTACCAAACTGCCATCATATTCGTCGTCATCAGTATCGGAATCAGAGTAGCCTTTCAACTTTCGAACTTTCTTTTTCACTTCCTTTTTCACCATTCTTGCTATCATACTTTCAGGCTGCATGTAAATAGTCACATTTTTTTTTTTCATCTTTTAAAAAAATTAAATTTCAGTTTTAAAATTGAACAAAATATTTCAATAAGCTACTAGATTTTATACCATATGAAGATTCTTTTTTTGGAGCAGGTAAGAAGATCAAGGACAGAGAAAAAGAAATCTACAACATGTGCTACGTCTAAGCAATTTTAAAAATGTTTCAAGGGCAACAGTCTAAAAAAAATATCTCTAAAGATATATTCTAAAGGCAGTATAAACGAAAACTAAATTATCGTAAATTATTTTTCTAGTATTTAAATTGAAATTACAGAAAAATTTTTATAAAAATAAAATATTAAAAAAAAAAAAAAAAATACTATAAAGATGTTTATCAATGTATATATAATTAAATAAAACTATTAAAAGGAAAATCTAAATTCTTTTTATTGACCTTAGGAAGATAAAAGTGTCATTTATCTTTTCAAAAATAAAAAATTTTATACAGAAGCATTTGACTACTACACTATTTTATAGAGATTGATTATGACAAATACTAAGTCAGATAAAACAATATAATTCTCGAGATACTGAATACTACCTGTGAATTACTATAATTTTTATCGTGAACTCAATGATCTTAGAAATGAAATGTTAAACTTAAACAAAAAAAAACAGATAAAAATAGAAAAGAAAAATTAAAAAACAATCACAATTAAAACCAAGAAAATAAATTATAAACAATGAAATTTAAATACAAAAATAAGAGACCCAAAAAATAAAATCGAAAAAAATTTTTAAAAAAACTTATTTTTTTGTGAACAAAAATTAGTACTTGTTTTTCGAAAATAAAAAATTGTCATATTTAATTATCAGATCCTAGGTTAAAATTAAAAATCATTAATTGTCTTTATTGAATTGAAGAAAAAAAAAAATATTCGCAATTGTTGCATAATAATTCACATTTAGTATTATATTATCGTTTCAGTCACAATTATCTCACACTTGGGTGCCTTGAACGTCCGTTATATTCATATCAAACATCACCTGTTGACCACCTGCTTCCGAAAAAGAACAGATACCCTATTTTTCTTTGAAAAAATAATTTTTTTTCCCCCATTTTCTAAGACTAAACACCGGAATTACAAATATAGAAATGCAACTTAAAAACATTTGTGTTCACACAAAGAAGAAATGGTCACACAGAAATTGGAAAATATTAATATCAAGAGTGTCAAGGTGAAGGCGTGTCTTGATTTAATCTCACCGCGGTGAAAGCTAATTAATAGAAAAAAAAACCCTTGTTATCTTCAAGTTTTTAAATTTGAAAAAAAAACCCCCCTTCAGGAATTTAAGTTTAAAACTCATTGTTCTCTCAACATTTTCTAGAAATGGAGACAAAATCGTTTGTTCAGCTCTAGAAGATTACATCAATTTTGTTTGATTAAGAAGAAAAACTAACTCAATTGAAACAAATCGAATTAACCGAATCCGATTCCGGATCTGTCATTGAAATTCGCTTGAGATGAGAAAATCCAAGTATCGCTACTAAAACTGAATTTTGAAATATCTATATAAAATTTTGTAAATCAAAAATCGATATAAATGAATTTTAACAATTTCCAAAAAAAAAAAAAAACGCGGAATTAATAATTTTCATGAATCGTAAAATTAATATATTTCATTAGAATCATAATCAGTTGATTTATCTGACGAAAGATGAGATGTAAAAAAAAAAGAAGGTAGCATTCTATCATTTTAGTGAATCATTCTGATTCATAGATAGATACACAAACTATTTCTCTGGAGATTTGTTTGCTGACGCAGCGACAAGTTGGAGGAACTTGTTATTGACTTCAACTATTGTATATGAAAGGGTTGCGAAGTCTCAAAGAATTCCGAAAAGACGATGACATCATATATGAATATCGTCATTGCCCCAGACAGTTTTCTTATCAACATATGACATAAGTTCCTCCTTCAACTCGTGAATATTGTGTCTTCATTTTTATTACAATCGACTCACTAGAATAAAAGACGCATAAATTATATTCTTCTATATATAAAAATTATTAATTCAAATTGAATTTTTTATTTTTCAAATTTTTAAAAATTACTTTTTATTAAAATTTTATTTAATCAAATTTTCGAGCAAAGAAAGTTTATGAAATTGAAATTTTTGAAAATAATTAGAAAATTTTCAAATTGAATCGTTTTTTGATATTATAATATTATTGAATAGGGAAAATAGTGTAGAGTTTTCGAAGAAAATTGAAATGTTATACTCGATGCGTTATATAAATCCTTTTGATAAGGAAAAAAAATCGAAGAAACTGGTTATCGTCACGAGGATTGGAAATTTCACAAGGCTATGATTCTGACAAATAACGACATAAAATCCTTAATGAAGAAACAAGATTTTCTAGTTTTGTTCAAATTAGAAGATGACAATTACTCAGGATACAATTTTGTTACATTCCCCCCATCCTTGTTTTTTTTTTCGTCACTATATAACAAAATAGCAGTATCGTTTTGCAACGGTTTTAAACGTCTGGAATGTCAAGTTGCATGACTGGGTCACTGTGATTTCCAACGGTATTCACTTAAGAGACTTTTATTTCTAGGTATCTTATAAACCATATGTGTAAATGATAAAAAAAGAAGAAGAAACCCTTTACCCACAAAATTACCAAATTGAATAAAATTTTCTCCCTATTTCTTTGGCTATAAATTATTTTTATTATATCTCGAATGCGACATTTAGTAGAGAATAATTCTATCCAGATGTTGATCTCTTGGAATTTTTTTTTTTTAAATCATCTGCCATAACGGCAAATAAATGTAATCAGAAATTTCAAACCTTGGAATTTTTCTTATAATTTGAAAAATTTGATTATTTAAATAATAAAAACAGTGGAAAAACAACAATTTTTATAAAATGAAAAAAAATGAATAATTTATAAAATTCTAAAAGGATTAAGGAGAAAATCATTGAAAGCTGTCCACGTTATCAAAAAGGTCAAGCTTAGAAAAAGAAAAATATCTGTTCTGTAAAATTTCAGGCTTTCTAGGATTTCCAGATGACTGAATACTGTAATATATATTTTATACTCTTGGAACATTCTTTACTGATATGATTAAATACCGTTGGGAAATGAACAATACCCACTGATCAAGTAGTGGAGCATGAAGAAGAATTGGATAATTAACTCCCTGATTATAATTAATCAATTACAGCCCCTTATAAATCATATTTATAATATATTACGGAAGTTCCTGTTTTCCAAACAATTTACAATATAATAATTATTTACATAAAATTCACTAAACGGAAGTTTATTGAAAATTTACTATAACGAATAAAATTATTTTTACTTACTAATTAAACATATAGATAGTTTATTAACTAATAATTATAGTAAATATCAAACTATTAATTGTCAACTATCAATTATCAACTATCGACTATTTATTTATCAACTAATAATTACACAAGTCTACATCATTATGATCCCATTTTTCCATCAACGAAAAAAAACAATCTTTTTTTACAAATTGAAATTTATTTATCAATTTCCAAGATTTTAAACATGATATACGGCATAACTTCCTTAGAAATTGGCAAATAAAATTCAAAAAGAAGATAAAATTGTATTTTTAATAAAAAAAAAAAATGTTTCGAACCTGACAACTTCTCCTTACACGTAAAATAAATTAAAACTAATCTAATACTATAATTTAATTAAAACTAATTAAGAAATAATTTTAAATTATACTTATGTTCAAATAAAATTCTTTTCTAGCTAAATAAAATAATCCACGATCAATGATAAATCAAAGTATTTAATTATTATTTATTAAATCGAAAAGGAAAAAAAAGAATTAACGGAAATGCTAAAAACTTTATTATTCAAGAGTAAAAAGAATTAAACATCCTATTGTTCAAGGTAAAAACATTTTTTTTTTTTTTATAATCATCTTTAAGGAAAAGTTATCTCGTAATTGATGAAATGCTCTTACGAAAGAATGTTTAAATGAGCTTATCAGTTTTCGTATGATGAAGAGAGGAAAATAATTGTCTTATCTAGTGATTGCTAATTATAGAATCAAGATTAATCAACGGAGTAAAAGCGTTGCAAATTTTTTTTTGTAAAGGAGAAAATTTCCCTCTCCTTTCACAAAAAAAAAAAGGATGATCCCTAAAGGGATTTTCTCTATACCTGAAAGTGATTCATAATTTTTCCATAGAAATAAATCTCTTACCTTCTTGTAAAGTTTAATCCAGGTAAGGTCGCCTTTAACATCCGTATATTGAAGACCAAAGAACCAAACTTCCCTGAGTCCAATGGTCTTGACAACTTGGTCAAAAAGCTGCTTGCCCGTGGTCGCCGGCTGGATCGCAAACTCCAGCTCGGCATCCATAGTCGTCACCCTCACGTTTATCTTGAAAGAACACAAAAATCATTTTAATCACACTATTAACTTTTACTATACCACATTAATTATTAATTTTCGAATTAAAAAAGAAAAAAAAATTATAATTATTATTTAAAAAAAATTATTTTACAAAATAAAAATCACATATTATTTAACACATTATTTCAAAATATAATGAAAAAAAAAACAATCACAATCTATGTATTTCTCCATTATTTAAAAAATTCCACCAAATTTGTAACGGACGCTTGACGCGCGATTTTTAACGGACGCGCGCCACAATGCTTACCATTTTCGTACCGGCAACCATGGTTTAAGAGAAATTCAAATTCAATTGAAATGCCAAGGACAATAAATACAGAGATAAAAAAGAAACTTGATTTAATATAATTTCCCTTGTGTGTGAGAGAGAGAGATGAGATTTCGCGAACACTTGAGAGAGACTTGGGAAGATGGGTTTTATATTTGAAGTAACCGTTTTGGAGCACGTATATCCGGGGCCTGATCGGTTTAGTTTGCCGGTCTAGACGAGGTCGAACAATGGGCCAAGGGGCAAGTGCAACTGGCGTGTCTCCCTCCTTACGACCCTCTCGACGACTAAACCACTCCTCTAGTCAATGGCGTAACACAAGTAAATTTTAACAAATTTTTATCAATCACCTCAGGCTAAAATCAACAAATCAATCCGCAAATATCTGATAAGATATTGTAACACTTCAATATGCAACTGATTCTCTTTTGATAAGAGCCACATACATGATACATCCATCAGTGCTAAATTTCTGAATAAGAAACTTTTAACAAACATTTTTTTTTTAAATTACACCCTTATTTTTGTTTAATATTTTCTAAAAATTAAAATTTTTCATTATTTCTTAATTCATAAGTTTAAATTTCCCTTTAAATGAATTTTTTAAAAGAAAAAATTATTAATACCAATTTTTCCAAATTGATAGACCTTCTTTAGGTAGACCAAATTCGAAAATCTCAAATCTTTGAAGTCTCAAGGATTGAAAATAATATGGCAATCATAAAAACATAAAATCTTGAAGGAATTTCAAAAGATTTTGAAAATTGTAAATTCAACAAACCTAGAGAGAGATTAAGGACAAATTGGGAGTTCTAAAATTCTGAAAAAGAGTCATAAAGTCCCTTTGTTGATCCTGAAGAAAGTCAGGAAAAAAAAATGTAGAGAATTATTTTGAAGATCATTTTGAATTATTGGTTTATAGGTTTTTACGCCATTGCTCCAATATAGACGCGTTCTCGCTGTTTGTGCTGTTTTACCATTTTGGCGAGAAAGAGAGATCGTCCAAGACAGTGAACAAAGATGAAACATCTTTACAGGGTCACGTGACTCCAACTCGCATCACGAAGAGAGAAGATACCTGGTGCGAGGAAGGAAGAGAGATACTTCCTTCCCTGTGTAGTGTGTACTCGAAACATTTTCACAATTTTTAAAACCTGAAGCAAAACACGTAATATAATTGCATGTAACGAGAAAATTGCGCTTTGACACACTAGGTCAAGGTAAAGATCTATATATTTTTTTTTTTTACAAAAACGCAACAATTAAAAAATAACACAAATTCAAAAATTTATCAATAAAAAAAAATACAATGTAATCATCATATTGTTTATCTATCAATTAAAAAATGATAATATGTAAAAAAAAAGATGAGAATGTAAAAATCTCAAAATATTCAATGAATGAAAAGCACGTGTAACGAAAATCAAGATTAATGAATGAATTTAGATTTTCTTGGAATATAACAATGAAATTTGCAAATCAAATGAAGGTTTATTCTTTCGTGATGTGAATGACTTTATCAAATTATAACTATAAAAGAGATCATAAATTATTAGGTATTTTTATATATGTGGAGATTGTAGAATAAATAACGAAAACCTTGATAAAAAAAAAAAACAGTGCACGCGACCATGAACGGAAAAAGACAATAACTTATTCCTCAGGTTAGTTCTTACATCATTTTTGATTTGACATTGATGTTACAAAGATGAGTAAAGGGATTTTCAAATTCTTTATTACAAAAAGAAAAAATAATTTAATGATGTCTTTTTCTTTAAAAGCAATTTTAAATGTTATGTAATGGAAATAAATTAAATTTTGAAATTTTCAAATAATCACTTGATTTTTAATTTATTTATCCTATTATAGTAAAAATTTGAGTAAATATATATATTGTTGGTGAAAGAAAGAAAGACTTTTAAATGGGAAATAATGAAATTTTTATAAGTTTAAAAAAGGAAAAGGGGGTCATCTCATTCATACGAAGACAGACGTAATAAAAAGTTACTATCTTGTCTACGTTAATGAGAATATAAACATTTTACGACAAACTGTATTCAAAAAGATAACTCACAATAATAATAAGAGTAAAAAAATAAAAATTATTCTCTACCTATATAATAACAGTAAATTATCATATCTTTCAAAGTTCTCAACGTTCATATATGAATTTTTGTTATAGAATTTAAAAAAAAAAATTCTTATATTTATTAATAGTCCATATCTTTTAATTTTGGATCAATTTGCAAATTTTTACATTAAATCTTTCAATAAATTAAAAATATTTTGATAAAGTAATTTAAATATAACGAAAAAATTAAATAAAAAAGAAAAATTTATAATTGAGTATAAATCTGTGTAAAACAAAATAAATTTTAATTAATTATTAATTCAATTTTCGTAATATTCAAGATTAATTTTTAATTAATTTATTTCATTCAGTTGAACGTTAAGCACTTCCAAGTATACAAACATAAAATATATTATCCCGATATAAGAGATAAATGTGTATAACATTATGTGAATTAAAGTTAAATGAAAAGAGAAAAGCAAAATAGTTTGTTTAACACACCTGTTTCGGCATCTTGACGATTGTGTCTGTTTGTTCTGCAACTCGTACAGACAGTCAACCTACAACAAATATCAATGAAGAATGTGTAGTTCATTCCGTTTCACATTTCACAAACCTACTTGCAAGTATCACGTGTTCAAGAATTCATCTAAATCTAACATAACTATATTTTGTACTTTGATTAAAAATTTGTAAAAAAAAATATATACATAAATTACATAAAAATTAGTTAAAAAAACTAAAATAAAATAATAAACTTTTTCAACTATTTCTCAAAAGGAATAAATTATTAATATAAAAATATTAACAGTGTGATCACTGAATTATTTTCTATTTTACTTTTAATTATCGAAAAATATTATAAATACCTTCATTTATTGAAAAAAAAAATCATAAACTAAAAAAATATATGTTAAACTGATAATACTATCAAAATTTCTAGACAGTTCAATGCAATAGCTCTATTAATATTCAAACAATGGAAAAAAGAACTGACCGATTTGTGAGGGGACAAAAGGCACGTATGCATGTCATAATGAAAGAGTAATAATGTTCTATGGTCAAAAGAAGAAAAAGATTATAATGCAAATCCACATGGCCTCTGTATAAAATTCTCCATGGTGTTCGGGATATTTAAATTTTTATTCTTCATACAGAATTACGTTCATTGAACTGTTAGAATTTATAATCCAATCATTTTTCTAATTTTTTACAGCCTTAGAAAAATTTTCCCCAAAAAATGACCTATATTATTAAACAAAAAACATTCAAAAAAATAAAATTATCACTTGTCCAGAATTATTAAATTTATGTTAAAATAAAAAAAAATCCTCTATACAAAAAGTTGATTTATTTTATTTAAAAAAAATGCCATATGGTGCAACATAAGGCTTGTCCTATAATTTATTAAATTCCAAGAATCTCTACCTTTTGAAATTTGTTTTCTAAAAAAAAATTCTATTTTCTCTATATGTTAATCATGTGAGAAGATCCCTTAAACCGTTGCAACAGAAACTACTATCTCTAACTGTTCAGGCTCACTTTCAAGGTCATGGCTTGGTACGTCCACCGATATACGACATACCGGCAAATTCTTCACTATAGTGGCAATTTCATTATTATGCCTTTATCTTAATTGTGTGCAAAATTGATTAATGAATATATTAATCTCGCGACATAATTACAGCAGTGAAACTGTTAATGAATGTTTATTATCACCTGCAAAGATGAGAATTAAAAAAAAACACAAATTTCACCAAAAAAAAAAAAAAAATAATAATAAAGTAGATAAAGCAATAAATAATAACATTAAATAAACAAAAACATTTATATAAGACAAGTATTTAAATGAAAATGTCTTAACTCGAAATTAGCGAATCAAAAATTAGTTTATAAATATCCTTAACCGTGTTTTAAAATTAAAACTGGAAATTGAAAAACTTATTGTAAAATTTACATAACAAATTTAAGGTTATAAATTATTAATCAGACTTACAAAAAGAAAATAATAATTCCTTAAAATAACAAAATCAGAGTAAAATAAATGAAGAAATTAATGTGTGCTAAAGAAAATGAATCAGCAATAGTTTTCCATTATATAGTTTAATATTGATAATGAGAAAGCAATGTTGTCGTGTCATTGTCAAAAATGTCAACATTTCTCAATTTCCAGTTTTTCTTCTTGTTAAACTATTTACAGATCTATCAACACCAATCAAGATTTAATTGTGACGCGATTTCTGTACCTTAAGTTGGAGGCAACCGTTAAGGATATAAGAGATTGAAAATTGCCCGCGGGCAAATACTATACGCGAGAATTTCACGAAATAACCTCCACGACGTGGGATGCCGATCTGTGATAGAAAATAATCAGGAACATTGCAAATCAGTAAATGATGATAAAACTGTCGTCGTTACTCCGGAAATCGCATGGGAAAATTAGTATTGTATGACTTATCCTGTCTGCTCGGTGCCGCCCGAGTGCAAAAAATTTACTATTTTCACCTTATTATTCTTATTTATTATTTGTTTTAAAACATATTTTTAAAAACACATACCACTCATTCAGAAAAGGTACAATGCCACTTGTACTGTATATGGGGTCGAGAACCAAAGGAAACCGTCAGATCCACACCCAAAAATCCCGTCACGTTGAACAAATACTGACACCTCACTGATAAATATGGCCGCCGCCCGCCCGCTCATGGAAAAGTGGGGTAGGCCACAGACTATAAAATATTTTAAGATAAACAACCACAACCACATCAGTCGATATGTGATCGACCTAGTCAGTACTGTTTGAGTACCCGCGAAATTTAAATCACATTTTGCTTTACACTTTATCTAAACACTTAATACAATGTAACTAAAAATAAATTTTCTCAAATTTAACATAAATTGATAATACAATATTTAATATTTACATAAAATGTTTAAAGAAAACGATTTTTGTTATTTTTCCTTTGTTATTTGAAAATTTAATTTAAAAAGAACCGCGTAACTAGCGCCTCTACTGACTAAGAATAATAACAACAGAAACTCTTTGTTCCATTCATTCCTTTGTGATTTAATTTTTCAAAATGGCCACATCATGAAGAAGCAGAGATGCGTGAGAACAATCATTTGGAAGAAAAATAAGTGTTTTATTTAGTTTTTATTAATTTCATTACCTAACAAAATTTATGTAAACAATATTAATTAACTTTTTAATTCGGGTTTTTTTAAAAAAAAAATATTGTTTTTTAAGGACAACAAAAAAAATTGTAATGCGTAATAGCTTCCGTCATCGTTAAAAAAAGCAAGTTATTTTTTCTTTTATATCATATACTTATTTAATTTATAATATTTAGTAAATTTAAGGAAAAGTTAGCAAACAAAGATAAGAGAAAAGAAAAACATGGCGAGTGATTTCTCAAGCGAATGCAATGAGGCAATGGCAATTTTGGACGACGAGAAAGAAGAAGGTGAATTATCCCTTGATGATGTTAGTTCATCGGAAGAAGGACACATAAATTATCGATGTATGGAGAAATTCCGTGATGGTCGCTTACATTCACATCATCAGGCTCCTTGTGAAATTTCTACCAGATACATTGGTTCGAAATTTCCTCACAAAAAAGGTAAAAGACAAGTTTAATTAAATTTTCTATAAACTTAGATAATTTTAATCTTTATCTTCTATTCACAAATATATTTTAATGTAAATAATTATTACATTCATTCACTTTAAATATAGAAATAATATTTGTTGATATATAATGCTGAGTCATGTATTTATTAACTTTTGGATATTTAATTTCTACTATATTTATAGTTATAGGTATACATATATATATATGAATCATTAAAGGCTATTATTTCAACTGCACGTGTTATGCTTTGTTAAGTTTCCATTTCTATCAGCACTTGTGATAATTACTTATGTAATGAACAATTCTTATAAAACATTTAAATTCATTTATAATTATTATGAAACATGTACTAGTTTGGATAACTATTTCCTTAAAAGAAAAAATAGCAAACGTTTATTTCAATTTTGTTAATTTAATATTTTACGCAATTTTTTTAATTCTACTATTTCATATATGATTTCATTATTCAATTTACCAAAAGTCTAATGACCAAATAATTTATTATTTCACTAAATTTTTATTATCGGTAATTTTTTTATTCAGTTTTTATTTTTCATGAAATGTATTCTTCCAATTTCTCATTATCTATATTTGAATACAAAATTGTAGTAATTTATTATTGTCACTTGGCTTTTAAGTAAATTGAACATTAGAAAAAATAAAAATTATAGTAGAAAATTTATTATAAGGGGGAAACTTCAAGGTTACTTTAGGGGCTGAAACTATTAGTAAAATAGAAAATCCATCAAATTTCATTTAGAATATTTCTTTAATAATTTTTTATAGCTTATTGAAAAATATTATACTTTTATTCTGATTACAAATTAAGCTATTTGTCGATTTTTTTGGTATTTTTAATCCATTTCTAATCAAGTAGAAGTACACCTTGTTACTTAAGATGCAGAGAAGGGGAAGGAGAACCATCATCATCATATAAAAGATACAGGACATTCAGGAGATCGACTTACAAGCTCTACACTGCAGGAAAAGAATGATGATCTTATTCCAATTTCAAGTGACAGCGACATGGAACTCGTCGGACTCCCAAAACGTGTTCATCGTGCAAAATCGAATAAAGTTAAAAAAAAGAAAAAAAAACGAAAACCCCACACGTCTGTCATTGAAAAAGACGACGAATCAATTGCCAATGAAATTGATGACAATTTAACAATAATGAATCTCAATTCATCTACATCATCGAAAGAAAATCGTTTACTCAAAACTCATCATCATCACCATCATCATCATCGTAGTGAAAAAAGTCCAACATATAAAATGAAAATTTCTCCCAGAAATCATAAATCTTCTCTAATTGGAATTCAATTATCAGAAGAAAAAAATAAATCACCAATTCAAAGTAGATCAACAGAGGCGAAGAAACGATTAAAAAAATTAAAAACATCGGAAAAAGAAACTCATAAAGATTTAATAAATCCACTTTATAAAAAAATACGAAAACGTACATTACCATCTGATATCGTATCTTCTCCTTCGACTGATATTCACGTGACAAGTTTATTAAAAAAAGTCCGTCATTATGGAAAGGTAGGAACATTGGAAGATAGTCAAATTTCCACTAAGACGAAAGATCATGGCTCATCATTAAAAAAGAAATTGAATATTTTTCTTAAGCCAACATCAGAGAATAATGATGATATTATTCAAGTAATTGAAGACGATTCTGGTAAAAAGAAAAATGAGAATGGCGAAGAAGAAGATGATTTAAATATTTTGAGACAAAAGGCTTTAGAGACGAAACAAAATAAGATAAATAAAAATCAAGAAGAAGAAGAAATTATAGAAAATTCTAATATTGAAATGGAAGTTAAAAATAATTCAACCGAAGCAGATGTTACAGAAAATATCACTAACGATGAAGAAATTAAAGGAAATATAAATAATGAAGATGACGATGGTGATGATGAAGATTTAAAATTACGCTTAATAGCTCTTCGTTCCGCGGTTTTTAAAAAACATCGTGATAGAGTTGCAAAATTACAAAAAGATAAGGAAACAAATCTTCCTCCAAGATGTGAAAGTCCATTTAGCGAAAGTTTTATAAATAATATATCCCTAGCTGAAGATATTGACGTTGAATGTCCGTCATATTCTTCCGAAACGGCAAAAGATTCTAACAATAGTATCGAAGATATGGAATTAGATTCCGATATCGAAAGTGATATTGTTCTCGAAAAAGATAATAATTCTCAAAAAATTATTAATTCCGAAAAAGATGATTTCTCACCATCAAATAATATTAATTTTGACGAAGCACCCTATTCGCCCACAGACGCTGTGAACAATGAATTAATTTTAGAAGCCGAACAATTGGGAATCGATACCACCGATGTTTCCTTTATTAATATAAATAGTAAAAATTTTTCTAAATTTGGTTCCTTTTTACCTATTAATAATAAGGAAAAATCTCCCCCCATAAGAAATACTTACAGTACGATTTCAAATTCATCATCAAATTCAGATATAGGTTTTAGATCATTGCCTAAAAATAATCATGATCGACATAATAATTTCGAAAGACCATATTCACCTTCGGATGCTCCCGTTTTTGATCCCGACTTAACTGATTCTTTATTAACTCCAAGTAACAACGAGACATTAAACTATAAAAATAATTTAGGTTCCAATAATATTAATAATAATTTCCCATTGCATAATCAATCTGCAAAGGAGCCCGAAGTTATATTAATTGATGATGATCTTCCCGAGACAGATATTGATGGAAGTCCTTTAGTGCCAATGGAAAAGGATTTCAATATACACTATCACATTCCAGAACATCTTTCTTATCAAATGCTTCAACCATCTTATCAGCCTCTTTATTTAAATAATCCACATCATGATATCCGTGGAATTCCTGCTTTTATTCATAATCCTCCAGTACCTCAGTCAGTTTTAAGAGTTAGTCAACAATTACAACAAGAATCAAAAATGTCAAGAGAAGCCAAAGAAATGCCAATAGAAAAATTATACAAAAATTTACCAGTTCCACCAATGAATGTTGAATTCATCAATGAACATTTTAATTACAGTCAATTACATCCAACACAAAAGAGGCCAATTATTGATTTACTAGCGATGGATCAATTAAGAACAACAACGCGCGATATTGATAATCAACAAACAAAAGAAAATTTATCCATTAATTGTCACGAGGAAGAATCAACTATCAATATTGGTAAAAACAAAAAGAAATCGAAACAAAAAAGAAAAAGATCAAAAAGAAATTTAAATGAATTTGATGAAACCGATTCCGAATCAAATGAAAATATAAAAGAGATCAAAAATTCAGAATCCATTAAACGAATGAAAACTTCGACTAATGAAATACCAACTATCAACGAATTATCAAATATTCGTTATGACAATAAAACAGGAGAATGTGTAGAAAATAATATTCGAATGGATGTCGAATATGTTGTAAGAGAATGTACTGAAAATATTGTAAGAAGAGATGCAGAAAATATTTTAAAAAATAATACAGATAATACAAAAAAAGATACCGACAATATTGTAAACAAAGATACGGAAAAAATTTTGAGAAAAGAAACAGAAAATAAAATGAAATCACAAATTACTTCATGTACAGAAAAAGATGAAACACAAAAGAATTTAAATGTAAATTTAGAATCGAGAAGAAACAGCATTGATGAAGATGAAGATGAATTAAGAGCAATTTTACTTGCCTCTATGGGAAAACGTACAAAATCTCCGAAAATTAATAAAACTCCAACTGTAACTAAATCTAACGAAATTGCAACGAATCGAAATATTCAAATGCCAATTGTTACTTCAACTCCGAATAAAAGTACTGAAATTGATTTGCTCACTAATGAAGCTTCTGTAAAAAATGTACCTACTAAAGAAGTTAATTCAAAAATTGTACCTGCTAAAGAAACACTTGCAAAGGATTTATCTAATAAAGAAACATCTGCAAAAGTTTCACCTACAAAAATTACGCCTAAAGTTTTATCTACAAAAATTTTACCTACCAAGATTTTGCCTGTAAAAAATTTATCTTCTAAAGTTTTTCTTCCAAGAGTTATATCTACAAAAATTTTATCTACTTCAGTTTTACCTGCTAAAGTTTCGTCAACAAAAATTTTACCTTCTAAAGTCACGCCACAAAAAGTTTTACCTACTAAAGTTGCATCTCAAAAAATTTCACCCAGTAAAATTGCAACTCAAAAAATTTCACCTTCTAAACTTCCAATCGCAAAAGTTGTACTTACAAAATTAACACCCACAAAGGTTGCGTCAACAAAAGTTCTACCAACAAAAACTTTACCAAATAAAGTATTATCAACAAAAATAACAATTAACAATTCCTTAGCAATTAATTCAGTTTTAGGCAAAAGAAAAGCAACTACAGTTCCTTTATCATCCAACACGCAAAGGAAATTAGTGAAAAAACCAATGATACCAGCCATGACAAAAGTTGTCAATAATGCAAAACGTTATCAAAATTCTTTATTACAAAGGAAACTTAATTTACAAAAAGCAATTATGACATTTAATGCAAAAAAATTAATTGCAAATAAATCATTGCGTGTAGTAAATCTTAATAATCAAACAAGCCGTTCAATAAGTCCAAATGTATCGTCCGCGAATAAATCCGAACGATTTATCATTAATTTAAATTCAGATACGGAAAGTGATTCAGAGTCAGAAAGACGAAATACAATTGTCGCTGTCACAAATACAAGCAGTGTAGAGAAACATCCACCTCTCACAATACCAACCACTGAATTTGAGAGAAGTGTCGATCAATTTCTCCGCGATGTTCGAAAGAGGCAGGAGACAGCAGCCGCTACTAAACAATCAACCAATTCCAGTTTAGCAAAAACTTTATCTCCCTCAGAAAATCCAACAAATGGAAAAAATGCCTCTGCTACTATTACACCTTTGGTAAGATTAAATATTTCTTTTTTTTTAAAATGAATTATTTTTTCATTCGTTTACTTTTTTTAATTTAATTTTATTTATTTGTAATTCGATTTAATTAATAATTAATTGATAAAAATAATGTCTCTTAAAGAGATTGGATATTTCGTAAAAGTGAAAATTGGAAAATGAAAGGATTTTGCTTTTACGAGTATCTTGTATGGAGATTATTTTATAGGCTGTTCGTCACTTGCCAGTATCGCAACAAGCAGAATATCATCGTTTGAAGCAACAGATTGTCGAACGTGAAAAATTAAAATTGCAAAGAACAACAACTTCAAGTACTAATACTGTTATTCCACCAGATCCTCCAGCTGTAACCGAATCAATAACATCAACGCCAAATATTGTTTCGTCAACAAATATTTCTAAAACACCAATTACAAAAAGTCCAATTGATAATCCATCGTTAACGAATTCTCCAGATTCCACACTTGCACCTCAAGTCAAACCGAATATAACAATTCAAATAAGTAATATTGGAGCATCGCCTAAAAAAACCGTTACAATAAGTTCGCCTGTTTCAAATTTGGTTGAGGAGAAACCAAAGCAGCAGGAGCAGGAGGAGCCCACCTTTCCCAAATTGAGAATATTAACTTGCGAGCAAATTAATTTGAAATTATTTCAAATACAAGTCTCGCAAAAAGATGAGGGAAGGAAAGTCATCGTTGGTGATATAAATTCACGAATAAATGATAAACAAACTAGTTTAGATACACAAAATTTGGATGATTCTGTAATTATTCTGTCGGAAATAACGAGTGATTCTCGAGAAAACAATAGTGAGACTAGTGTAAACAAACGTATTGAGACGGAAACTTCAAATGTTGCCTTATCAAAAAATAGTACAACGCTTGCATGTGATAATAATATAACTACCACGATTAATAATACTCATATAAATACATCTGAAAAAGAGGAGAGCATTTCCGAGGGCCAAGTTTTGAAACATGTAAAAGACGCTTCAAAAGAATCAAATTCAGAAAAATCAATTGCCACAAAGGAACCAATAAAGAAATCAACTGTAAAGAAACCAATAGAAAAGGAATCAACTGCTAAGAAAAATCTGATAGCTACGAAAGAATCGATTCCTGAAAACGAGACAACTGTCACGAAAAAACCAATTACTGAAAAGGAATCGATGGTTGGAAAAGAAACAATTGCCGTAGAAGAAGCAATTGTCACGAAAGAATCCACTGTTTCGAAACCAGTTGAATCTGAAAATATAGAATCTAATTTGAAAGACAATACTGATAAAGGTTCTGAATCGTCTGGCAAGGAAAAGGGTCAGCAAGTGTGGGATGTAATTAAAACTAATGTTCAAACTGAAGTGGAGACAGTATCGAAATTAGGAAACGAAGAAATGAAGAGGAAACTGGTGGAAACAGAACAGGAATTAGTGGCTAAAAGGTAAGAAACTGATATTTTTATTATTTCAATAAAATTGCTAATAATTATTAACTTGTATAAAATTTGACATTTATAGGATCTTTTTATTGTTTTTACGTTTGGCAGTAAAGTATAAAATTTTCACACAACAGGTACGAAGTTCTTGACGATTTGGCCGAAGTGTCAAAAAGTCTTCGACAATGGGAATTGGAAAAAGATTTGCAGTCAAACTTAACTGACGAAGTGAAAAAGCTGATAGAACAGCTGAAGCAAACCGAGGAGAAGCTCCAAGAACAAAAGGATAAAGTTACAAATATGGGACTAAAGGTGTCAACTGTCCATGAAAAAATGAATATCGGCAGAAAGGAATGTTTTCGACTTTCGAAAATTTGCACAGGTCTTGGAAATCGTGTTTACGGTCAAAAGTACAAGTAAGTTGTTGCAATTTCTTTTTATCACATTTCTTATTTTGATATTAATTAACTATTTCCATTTTTTTCAGAGTTCCTGAGTCAGGTGTTCAATTAGTGAATAACAGACTGAAAGAAGTGGCTCAACACACTAGTCAGCTTTGTAAAAAGAAAAATGACAAAAGGCGAAGAATTTCTGTAGCAAGTAATAGATCAAGTGGAAAAGAATCTGATACTTCAAGTCAAATGGCAAAATTAAATTCAAATGTGAAAAATTCCCAAGGCACAATACAAACGACAAATCAAGTTACAAATTCACATAATACAACATTATTGCAATCATGTTATGAAAATATTTCAAGCCCAATGGAACGACAAAATTCTTATGAATCAATTTTTAGTTATGGAAAAGGAAGCAGCGCAAGTAGCAGTTCAAGAACTCATAGCTCCAGTGATGTAGTTAGAGAAATTGATAAAGAGGATGATAATGCGATGCCAGATTCCAGTAAAAAAATCATCAATTCATCTAGTTCATTGAGCGACAATGTTTCACAATCGCAGGTGAAACAGACTATTGAAAATAAAAAAAGTGAGAACAATAAAACTGTCGATTCTTCATCAAGAATGGAAAATAATGAATCTTCTACGTGCCATATTGGAGAAAAATCCGTTTCAAATCAAATTAATGATAACCAAAAGAAAATGAAAACTTTGAGGCCTTATGTTTCGATATTGGATCATATGAAAACTGCAAGGTAAATTATGTGTTTATATTTTACAATTTATATATTATTAGGTAATAGGTAATTAGTTTAATTGTAATAAAATTTTGTTTAAAAAGTTTTCTAAGAGAATTATTTTATTTAGGAATTCAAGATTAGATGGAATTCTTTGCCCATATCAATTAATGGGAAGTTGTCAAGACGCTGATTGTCAATATGTACATCATTCTCCTAGTCATTAGCAGTCCTAGAGGCTAAAAAATCAACATATTTCCAATACGTAAGGTGGTTCTAATATTAGTAAATTGGTCCATTCAATGATTGATTTACTATTTCCAATGATCTCGCATATCGACAAATAACTTTAATTTATCTTTTTTTATTTAATATTTTTTTATTATGAATTAATATTTCATTTCATAACTAATTTACATTTTTATTTTGATTCATTTGAATCATATTTTTATATTGTTAGTATTATTCTTTTTTTCTGAATCTTTTTTTTTTTATTTTCCATTTTTTATAATTTTGTTACTTAATTTTATTACTGTTGAAACGTTTAATCATTTCCAATTTATAAATCCTGTACATTTTACACTTATATTTTTTCTTACAAATTTAATGAAAATGTTTAACTAAATTATTTCACGATTTAAATGAAATCGAATCTATTTTCTGATTATTCGTTAAAATGCTAATAAATTTTTTTTCTCTCTTTATTAACTTAAAAAAAAGAATGAAAATCTTTAAAGAAGACAACAGGATTTACAAAATGGATTGTAAATTCTTTTTTTTTCTTAACATTACAGATTCTGTACCAGACTCGACTAAAAGTGAGATTTTAGAAGAAAAATTAAAAAAAAAATTAAGAGAATTGTATTTTGAAATGTTACCAACTCTAAAATGGTAAGTTTATCTTCTTAAAGAAGATTTTAATGACTCGTATTTATTGTCTACACAACGCATCAAATAAGGTGAAATTTTGTTTTTAAATAAGTAGTTATTTTTTTTATTTAATTATTAATTATTAATAAATTTTTTTTTATTTCTCCATTTACTTAAAGAAAAGACAATCGTGAAAAATAGGGCATAATATATTAGTCAAATGTAAATAATAAATACAATTTTTTGATATAAAAGATACTTGTGCATATTGTGTATATATATATATATTATAAGAAAAGAAAAGCGATTTTTTGTAAATCGTTATAAATGCGTTTCTCGAAAATAAAAGTGATTAATTATTTTTTTTTACATGTTACCAAAATCATATTGTAAGCAAGTTGTAATTGAGTTTGTGTAATAAAGATAATTATATTCTTAATCATTTATTATTATTTACATGTTATTCATATACAAATTTTATAATTTTTCTCATTAATCAATTTAATTATAAATTTTTCAATTAGTTGTTTTCAATTGAAAATTATTATTAGCCATATTTATAGCCTGGAAATTTTCCTTGATCTCTTCTATGCCATGGAAATCGTCCTTCTTTTCTTGCTTCATCAAAATCTTCAATCCATTTTAAAGGACAAAATGTATTGTAAGATTCCTTAAACCATTCACAGGCTTCGTGACCTTCTCCAAGAATTTTTTCACATCGAAAAAAATCCACGTAACTCACAAAACATCTCAATGTTTGATTTTGCTGTTGGAATCTGTTAATATGAAAAATTATTTTATACAATTTTGATTGAAATTAAACAAAAATTACAATTTGATCCTAATTTTAATGGAAAATAAATCATTTCTTTTTATTTACCTAGGATCTAAACCAACTGTGGCTTTAAATATTTTTGGTTCTTTTTTAACTTCTTCTTCCTTTTTTAAACAAGGATCATCTGGATCAATTTCATTTTGTTGCTGTACATTTTCAATATTTTTTCCTACTGGTGTTGATGTTTTAGTAGAAAAATTATTATTTGTTTGATTTTCAACTGAAGACATTTTGATTTACAAAAATTTGCAAAAAAAAATTACATAAGTTTATTAAAATGACTTCAATTTTGGATAATTATATAAATGTCTTTATTTTCAAATATACATAAAATATGGTTATATCTATATGTTAACATTATTTAATTTTGACATATTTTATTTATAATAAACATTTGAAGATCAATGTGTAAATTGTTTGAGAAATTCCTCGAGTTTGAAATTTGCGCGCTATAAAATTTAAATATCCAGCGCGAACCAATCAAACGACAGGATTTTCAAGTTTTATTTTGATTACGTTGTTATATTTTTGTTGTAAACAGTTGTGTATAAAAGTATTAAAATAAGTAAATAATAATTAATGGAATCCAATAATTAATTGTCTTAAACAATGCATATGTTTGACATACAATCTTGTGTAAATATACAGTGTTAACGAGTGTATCCACGTGTTAATGAATAATTGAATTCAGATCTCATGAATGAATGAATGCCACGTAGTCGGCCTTTTATATACCAAGTATTTTAATTGTTTAGAAGCAGAAAACAATGTTGTTTAACATTATATTTATTTATTTACTGCCCATCGTTTTCGTTTCTATAATTTTGGTAAGTTTTCATACTTTCTTAAAGGTTATGTTTGTTTTGGTAAATCCTCCTGTTTTTGCCATTTTTGCAAACAAATATACAGATGTATATTAAAATTAAAAAAAGGAAGATTATTATTTGATTCTTTTATCAGTTTATTATATATTGTAAGAAATAATTATTTTGTGATAATATTACAAAGTTTTAGGTTATGTACAATAATATTGAACAATTATTTTCAGTTTTGCGTTGTACTCTATTTAATAACACAACCATATCCTAATACATGCCGATATGCTGAAGAGAAATTTTATTTTAATCCTACATCTGGTGAAAAAGAAGCTTTTCCTTCTTTGAATGATTCTTTTTCTGTACATATAAGTGTTATTGTTCCTGCCTACAACGAAGAGGAACGCTGTAATTATTTAAATTATCATTATTTACTGTCTTATTTTGTTTTATTTCTACTTTAAAATATTTATAGTTTGTTTCACATTTATAATTTGCTTATTGCCTAAATTCAACATTAATTTTTCTTTATTTATTTATTTATTTATTTTCTCTTGCAGTACCTCCGATGCTTGACGAATGTCTGGAGTATTTAGAGAATCGTAAAAAAAGTGGATTAACATATGAAGTTATTGTTGTAAGCGATGGTAGTGTTGATAAAACTGTCGAAATTGCTCACAGTTATTCCAAAAAATATAGAAATTTAAGAGTTTTAAAATTAGTCAAGAATAGAGGAAAAGGAGGAGCTGTAAGATTGGTAAATATTTTATAATCTAAAGTGTTATTTAATTGAATTAAAATCGTACATTATTATATTTTGACAATTATTTTTTTTAGGGAATTCAAAGTGCTAGGGGAAGTGTTCTATTATTTGCCGATGCAGATGGTGCAACGAAATTTGTTGATTTAGATAAATTAGAAAAAAGTTTAAAGGATGTTTTAGGAGGTGATTTATTTATACAATTTATGTTTGTTTATTCAATTTATTTCGGTAATAAATGGAAGTTTAATAAAAATTTGATTTCAGTGGACTACACGGAAGCTCCGGAACAAGTTGCTGATCAGCAAGCTTTGATTTGTGGATCACGTGCACATTTAGAGGAACAAGAAATCGCAAAAAGATCATTTTTCCGTTTGTTTTTAATGTATGGATTTCATTTTTTGGTTTGGTTTTTCTGTGTTAGAGACATTCGTGATACACAGTGTGGATTTAAACTTATGACTAGGGAAACTGCAAGAACAATATTTGATGTTTTACATGTGGAACGATGGGCTTTTGATGTTGAAATGCTCTACATTGCACAAACTCTAAAAATTCCCATCACTGAGATTGCTGTCAATTGGACTGAAATTGAAGGTTCAAAATTGGTGCCATTTTGGAGTTGGTTACAAATGGGACGTGATTTAGGTCTCATATGGTTGAGATACAAAATCGGAGCTTGGAAACTAAGTAAGCCGAAAACAAATTAAATTTGTTTATTTTTTTTTTTTTCTTTAGGTAATTATTTTTCTCCACTGACTGTAAATCTTGAAATATTCATCTCCCATTCTTTATAATATGTTCAGTTCATCAATTGCACAATTCAATACACAGTATATTATTGTGTATTTGTTTAATATTTTTAAAAGAAAATGCTGATGTTTTTTATACATTTGCGGGTATGAAAGGCAATGATTTTTAGTGAATTTGATTATTTTTTAATATTTTTAAAGATATGAAAGGCAACAATTTCAGTGAATTTGGTTTTTTTTTTTAAATAAAAGTATGAAAGGCAACGATTTTACTGAATTCGGAGTGAATGAATTTTCCTATATTGTTATATATAAAATGCAATTCGGTGGATGAAATTCAATAATTTTAGGTTTAATAAAGTCTGTTTTTAAAACTGATAATAAAATCCGAATTACAAAAATACTAATTGTTAATTCTCATTATTCGAGATAAATACAAAAATTTATGTAAAAATATATAAATTTAAACAATAGGAGAATTTTTAAATAACTTAAATTTTTTTAAATTTAATATTTAATTAAATGTAATAATTAATTAAAAATTTTTTTGGTATTATTTTTCTTTTTTGAATTTATCGAAAAACTGTGTTGTACTTTCAAAAGTTTTAGAGTTCTTTAAAATATTAAAAGCAGGTAGAACATGATTATTTAATAATTCTTTGTCAAACATAAATCGAGCCAGTGATTCATCGCCAACTCCTGACAAAATTGTTACCAGTCTCGCCATTTCATTAATACTTTTCATTTGATCTTCCATGAAATAAGTAATTATAAAATCACTCGCATTTAAATCGCCATGTTTCTCAGCAATCGAATTCACTGAAACTAGTTTTTCTGTTACTTCCATTTCAAGTTGAAGTGCAGTCTGAAAATTTTATTTATCATCATCATTATCAGCTGTTGAATATAAAATTAAAATTGGGTTAAAGAGTCTTGATAATGATGATGATGATTATTATTTTAATTGCAGTCTTCTAATTAAAAAATAATTTACGAATTTTTGAGATAAAATTTTAAATTATTATACTAGAGGACTGTAAAATGATTACTTGGAAGGCATTAAGCGGACATTTCCAGTCTCCATCCTCGGGAGGTTTAATTGCACAGAGAGCAACAGAACCTCCGCGTAATTTTATGTAGTTCATTAATTTTAATGCATGACCATGTTCCTCATGATGCATTTGAGTAAAAAATGACTCGCATCCCGGAAGTGAAACGTCAACTCGGCCAAAATACGATGCCTATTTCGTTTGAAAAAAAAATTTAAATTTTCGAAAGACTTAATTTCACTTTCTTAATTTTTTAAAATGTTTGAAAAAAATTTTAACTTTGAGTTTTAAATAATTCCGTGATTTTTTATCAATCTACCATTGATAGGTAGTAATAAAAAGCCTTGAACTCAGCATTAATTTGCTCATTCATGATAGCTTCCGTCTCTGAATGAAATTTAAAATTTGTTTTTATTCCTGATGGCCATTTTGACGGGCGATTATTATTATTATTATTATTGACGCCTGAAAAAAATTGGGAATCACAATTTTTTGATTTCTTTATTCCCAATTTAATTAAATTTTGAAACAATGTCCTGGGCTGTGATCCATTATTTTCTCTATGGAAAAAAATATTTTTTTTTTACTGAATTAATCATAATCTATAATTAAACTTTTCGCTGACAGATAATCATTTGATTGATTACTCTTTTAGCAAGTATATCATGATTTAAATTTTAATCAATAATGATATATTAATTCTCAATTAATTTTAAGATTAATTTTTGTAATTGATTTTTAATTCAGGAATAATTATTGAATAATGTTTTTATTTAAAAAAAAAATTTTTGGGGTGTAACTTACAAAGTGCGAAGTCTTCGTAGAAATATTAAACTCAAAGAATAATTAATCTTGAGGTTAATCACACTAGAGGCAGATTTAAACATTCTTTGAGACAATTTTTATTCTTACTAATTAATTTTCGAGTAATAATTATTTAAGCATGAAAAAAGATAACTAACATTGTATATTATCTACTCGGAAAATTTATTTCTTGTTTACGAATTTTATTTTAAAAAGTAAATTACACAATATGACGTAAACAAATGACGAATATTACTAATTGAAAAAAAATTTTGTTACATTTCCACATTTGGTGTGATTATGAAAAACTTTATTTATTTTTCAAAGAACAACAATAACAATGCAACTAATTGCGCTGTAAAAAGATATATTGACAAAGGAATAAAATTATTTAAAAAATGAATAATAGGTAATATAAAAATGATTAATTAATATTAATTAAATATAATATTATGGAAAAAACGACTTAATCATGAGGCAAAATTAATAACAGTAATTTTCTGAATAATAAACTTTTATTTCTTACACTTAAATTTAGTTACAACGTTCAACATATGTAAAGAAATCATTTCTTAGTCTATTAAGTAATTATTTTTTTAGAACTCAAGTATAAACAAACATCTATTTAATAATGCGTGCTATACCCTTAATTTTATGAAGAAGAAAAATAAGTTTTCTTATTAATCATTTAATTGACAAAATTCTTAATCACTTAAATATAATACTTTAATCTCGACGTTTTAATATCTTTTTTTTATTTCGAGAAACGATATATATCATTCATAAAGAAAATAAACTGTATCAAAATTAATTAACAAACAAAATATATAATGAATTAATATGCATTTTTATGCAATTCAAGATTTTGTGCTTTCAATCAAATATAATGTCAAGTTTTTGAATACTTAAAAAAAAGAATTACTGTCTCTCGTTATATCAGTTCAACTTAAATATTGTACATTTTATACAATATTGAGTCTATCACAGTTGTTACCATTATAATGTTACATTATATATAACGAAGACTCAAATTATAAAAGAAAGAAAAGAAACAGAAAACAAAAATATCTACTTAATCCTTGTTCATTTCTTTGTCAAATACAAAAACGCCAAGACCTTCGCCAACTCGTTCTAGATTTGTCACATGAGCAGCAATTTCTCTAATAGATTCAACTTGCTCTTGTAAATATTCGCCTTCAAGGAAATCCATAAAATGAGCATCATTATGATTTGAAGCAATGGAATGCAATCTCAATAGGCTCTGAAATTAATAAAAAATATCATAATTATTATAAATCGAATTTAAAAAAAATGATGAATTAATATTATTTTTTCTCTCTTTTTATCATTTTAAAGTAATTAAAATTTATGACTTAAATCAAAAATTACAAATGGATATTTATTTATAAAAGAAATATTCGTATGCATAATTTAATAAACTAGAGAATATTGATCAAAAGATTTAAAAATACTGTTTTAAAAGAAAAAAAAATATTGAATTGTTCAGAGCTTAAATGATAAATAAAAAAAAAGAAATTTTGGAGGAGCTGGGATTTGAACCCAGGACTTTCCGCATGCGAAGCGGACACTCTACCACTGAGTTACACCCCCTGTTAAAATTATTTTCTTAAAACCGAGAGTCGAACCTTGAAAATTTGTTTTATTATAAAAAAAAGGTGTATTTTTTATTTTTACACAAAAAAAATTTAATAAATAATCAAAAAAATTTTTATAAATTTTCTTTGATTATTTATTGTTTATTTAAAACTGTAATGGATAATAAACACTTTTTTTTAAAATAATTTTTAATCAAATTTTGTTAATTAATTAATTTTAAATTAATTTTTTAATAAATGACCAAAGATTTAGTTTCTCTTTAGATATAAGAATTGAATTTGCTTTGTACAAATGAGAACGAAAGAAAAATGCAAAAACAGTTTCTGATTGCGAATTTTTTGATAACAACGAATTAAATAAATAAAGTAAGAGAATGGGAATTAAAAAATACCTCATTTACACGTTTTTCCAATGTCAAAGCCTCAGTCATTGCATCTTTAGCTGTACCCCATTCCTGTTTAGGGGGAGCGCTCACATCCATAAGTTTTATTGATCCTCCACGTTTATTTTGATATTCCATAAATTTCGTAGCATGATCGCGTTCCTCTTCTGAAGCATGTTTAAAGTACTTATAAAGTCCATGTAGAGCAACATCACTTCGCTGGAAATGATATGCCTAAAAAAAAATAAGGAAATCAATTAATTTGCGTATATTCTAATTGCAGGTTGCTCTATTTTTAGAACTCTAGAAAAACAACAACAACAACAACGAAGAATAAATTGTTTAGAATAATCTGATGAAAATAGCTGTCTGATGAAATATTTTACTCGATGAAAAAAAAGGATATTAATTACTCACCATTGAAAGGTAAACATAACTTGCTTGAAGTTCCAAATTTATTTGTTTATTAAGAGCATCCTCGCACTCTGTGCTATAATTTTGTCGTATAACACTCATAATTCTTTTTTGTGCTTAAAGGTCTTTGAAAGAAATTGACTTTTGGTATATGACTGTGCCTCGGGGACTATTTATTTGTAATGAGCCAGTTACTTTGGGTGCGCAATACTTTTAGATTATCACTCACAACGACTTTGGACCTGCGCTGTTCAAAACACTTGACGAATATATGTGTTTGTGTTATTATCTGACCAGGTTTTGTATAATTGTATATATTTACACTCAATTGTCCTTTGTCTGCAAAATTTCACATTATGTGCGTAATTTGATTTTAGATTATTTAATATGAATTTTATCATTATAAATTTCCATTTTTACCTGCAATCAATATTTTTCTATAAATTAAAATATATTCTAATTTTTATAAATTATATTTATCTAATACAAAATAATTATTAATATATTTTTTAATTTTTCAAATTTTCGCAAAAAATTAAGAAATTTTGTTTTTTTAATTTTTCTAAATTTAAAAAGATAAATAATATAGTTTACAAGTTGTGAATTCCCTAATGAAACTAATTATCTATAAATTAATCAAAAAAATAAGGGGAGGTACCTTATCATATTATTATATTTATATATCAAATTTCCTTATTTTGCGAAGGAAAATTCTTTTCTGATTACTTCTAGTACTTTATCTTTTTATAGGAATACGTGGCATATGAATAATTTATTGCGCATTAATTGTTACTACCCGGAAAACATATAAATGACAATATTACTCTAAATCCAAGTTCTAATTACAATTATTAATATAGGAATTCTAATTGTTGCATATTGTGACACTTCAATTTCATAACCTAAATTAAATTTTTCAATTAATTTATTAAAATAGACAAATACGCAATTAAGATAAGAATGTTATTTATAATATTGATAAGATATTGTTATTATTAAAAATAAGCGACAATAATCGATAATAAATAGCAGTTTAACAAAAGTAATATAAAATCAATTACCATCAATCATATAATGAACGTCATTCGTAATTATTATTTATATATATTCTGATAATTTATATTTTGTAGAATAATCCGATGACGATGATTTTCAGACAAATGAATAATAGAATTATAAACTTTTTGCAAATAACTTAAAGTAAACATTTTTGTTTGTTTGATGCGATTTATGACAATATTTATTATGAAAAGCTGTGGAAACTAACCTATTTATTTTAAATTTTTCAGAAAAATAAAACTGCTCACGCGTCGATTTGTTTGACCAATCAAAATATTCAATTGTTCGATAACGATTTAGGATTGGTGGATATTTCTTCTTGTTGAAGTAGTCATTGGATACTTCTACAAAGCGACGACAGAGGGAGACAAAAAGGCGCCAAAAATGTCCGCCATCGCCGCCATATTGGTTTATTCCTTTCCCGGCCGGCTACTGGAAAACGTGTGTGGTAAACAATGAAATCATTTATGAATCTCAGATTGTTTTTCAACGATTTTCGTGATTTTCACATCCAGAAAGGTAATTATCTTGATTTATTGAATATTTTACAAACAATTTATTGCATTGTCATTGGATTTTTTTTATTAATGAATACTTTTATCGTTAACAATGTGACCTTGTATGTGACGATTGTTCCAAATTTAATTTCATCCCTTGGTATCAAATAATTTGATTTTTATTTTCTATTTATTTCATATAACCTTTATATTCAATGCTGATTGTTAAAACAATGATCAATTATTATAAAATTACGATAACCTACAAATGTTCTTGCATCGATTTTGTAGTTCAGTTGTAGGGGTAGTTGCCTATTGTCAGGGGCTACATAACGTACGTTTTTTGAAAATATTCTTATTTAATATTTTTTATTTCTAATTATTGCTTTATAAATTAGTCAATCGTGTGAAGATAATTATTGTTAAATAACAATTTTATAATTTCATCGTTTTCAATTTATTTTTTTTTCTCCTAACAATTGTATTAAATTATCAAGAATTAAGTTATTGGTTTTTTTAGAAATATTTTGGCATTTATAATTGCTTTATTGTTAATAAATAATTTTTAATTATTTATTAACCGTATAATTATAAGAAAACTTGAAAAAATATAATTGTCATTAAATATTAGTTAAAAAATTTCTGATTGTATGAAAATTTAAATTTTTTTTTGAAATTAAAAGTAATTTTTTCATTTCTTTGAAATATAATTGTACTTTATCGGTAAAGTTACAAAATATGATAAAATCAAAACTAATTTGAAATTGAAGGTAGTGTCAAAGTTTGAGTCGTATTCCATGAAACTTGGAGTGTTGACAAATACAATTAGTTACTTGTTAATTAGAATGTTTAACCGGTAATTTCTCTATACTATGAGGGAGTAATTCAATTTGCTTTCTGTAGTCTATTAGAGCTGTCGCGGCTTATTTAGGGAATAACACTTCGCACCTCAGAGCCCCCAAGCCTTGTGCGCTTTATCTTTATTCGTGTTAATTTCACATTTCCCATATAGCAGAAATAATTATTAGATACTGTAATTAACATGTGAAACAAAAGGGATTTACTTTAGTAAAACACAATTATTAATTGAAACACTTGCGACAATGTCTTTTTTGATAATATTGTTATTATTTTATTTTAAAATTGAATTTTCATTTTTTGAAATAGAAATAATAATTAGTAAAGTATTTTTAAAAAATGTATATATATTTTACTGATTTTGTAAAAATTGTTAGGATGTATTGTACCACGAAAACTTCATTATAAGGCGTTTCACAATTATGACTTGCATAATTGCAGTTTTCACTAATTAAAGTTTTCTCGAGTCTTAATTAAATAGAGAGCTAAGAGAAGGGCATTAAAGTGGATATGGTCCTTGTAATTAAGAGTTGAATATTTCAGGTGACTTTTCAAATTAAACCATAGAAGTAATCATTGTTTCATGTCCTTAAAAATGATCCCGGGAAAATAAAAATTAAACTCAAAATTAAGAAACTGATTTTTGGTCAGGGAATTTTGCATATATTGAAAAAATATTTAACAGGTGAAAAAAAGAAAGTAAATCAAAATTATCTAAACGTATAATAAAAATTGATTGACGTCTTATTAAAATTGAGCTGTACTTCCTGAAGTTTTCACTATGAAAGCACTCGTGATGGGGTTAAAAGCTTTTTATAATGAAGATGGAGAGCACTTTTGGTATTAATGCATCAAGTTTTACTTGATTGATAAATGGGGATAGTGAAAAAAAAAAATTCACTATTGTTTACACACGCAACATAAGGAATTTACATATTTAATTAATTTTTACGATAAAAAATTTGTTAAAATTATACAAATTAATCAGATATTAAAGTTTTTCATTTAATTAGCATGCAAATTAATATTTCAATTATTTATTTATTCTTTAATTGTGTAAATTGTTTTATTTCAAATTTAGAGGAAAATTATTTACATTTCGAAAAAAAAAGAGAGGAAAATTTGAGTAAAGTTTGTACAATGTAACTTATATCGTATTTGGAAGAGAGATTAATTTGAATATGACGTTTGCCGGGTGTATTTATCTTGAATAGTAATCGAGTAATTAATCTTCCAGGATGCTGGAAGCAAGCGCATGCTCGTCCAGCAGTGAGCGTCGGTGACGACGTCGAAGATGACGAGGAGGAGGACGAGGGTGGTTTTGAAAATGTACTCATCGGCTGGCAGTCGTCCGTTGAAGGTAGTTGTTTGCGGTGTCTCAGGTGGTGCGCTCTCACACTCCCATAGCCGTCATTCGTGGTGGGGACAAGAGAAATTTTCTATGGAGAAGATTCAGCTTCTATCGTTCTCCATCTCCCGCCACATCACAGTTGCTTTACGTAAGCCTTCATGCACCACTCGAAAACAATAGATCGATTCCAAAGGTGAATGATTAAACAAAAAAAAAAAAAAAAAAAACTAAAATAAAAAAAAATCTATATTAAAATTGAAAATAGTTAATTTAAAATAAATATTGAAAATTGAAATAATTTTTATGGGTTCAATTTATAAAAAATATTAAAAATAATAGCGATTAAATTAAAAGAAAAAGCTCGGAAGAAATTGTAATTTCTTCTGCCACCTGTCGGAGTTGAAATCATAATTTATAAATTTTTATTTATTCAGGCCTTGCTGTATTATGGGTCTTCAAAGTTGGATCATTATTGGAGTTATAATTGGATTATTTGTCAACAATGCTTTTGCTGGAAGTTGTAAGGAAGCTTCGCTTTGCTGTACTGGACGAGATTCCGCGTGTGTCGTGCAGAAAACATCGCCGAATGCCATTATACAAACTTTGTCTGATAAACCGTGTTATTGTGACCACGCGTGTCTGAAACTTGGAGACTGCTGTCATGACTTCAAGGATGCTTGTGGAGGTTAGTTTATTTTTCAAATCAATTTTAATTGAATTAATCTCAGAAATGAATTTATGATTTTTTGTTTATATTTAAATTAAATATTTTTAATAATAATAATATTGAAATTAATATTTAAGAGACAATGAAGATGAATTTAAAAATTCATTTCTATTTAAATAGAAAAATTTATTATTAAACAAAATTTAATTAAAAAGAATGTTTTTAAAAGAAAGATATCAAAATAGTTTTCACAATAGAAATTGTTTTTTGTAATTATCCATCATTGAGGTTTCAATTCTATTTTCTCCAAGAGTAGTTTGCCTAGTTTACTTACACGCAATTACAATTTGACCGATTTCTTCACCTCCGGTTAATTTCAACCTCTATTTTAATCCCTGCGCTTCTTCTAAGGTTTAAAGACCTCGCGCAATATAATTGTTCTACTTTGTAGCTTCCCTCTTATCTTCCACTTGCGACAATCAAGTTTCAATGTTCGTTTTAATAGAAACAAGGCTCTCTGTATATCTATATATATTTATAGTTTATTTCCTCCTTTTTGCCCATCATACTATGGGAAAGTTTGAAAAGTGTTTTCGTGTTTTCCCTCAACACACCCCATCAAGTACGCTCTGAAAATTAAATTTAAATGTCACTCTAAATTAGAGTAATTTCAATTAAAACATTTCTAATGAGATATATTTCTCTCAATGCAATAATTATGTCGATGTTTACAATGTAATAATTGAAATGTAAAGGGAATGTTTTACGTTTTAAAATTTTTTCATACCTTATACATTTCAATACTATTTTTTTTCCTAATTATATTTTTAATAATTACATTATTAAAAAATGTTTTAATTAAAAAGTTTTTATAACTTACATAAATTTTTTAATTGAAAAATATTTTTCAACTTTTCAATTTAATAGGAATCTTTAATATATTTTCATCTTTTTTTTTAGCTTTTGTTTAGAAATTCATTTAAATTTTTGAAATTCCTTGAAACTAAAATTTTGGTTTTTTTCTTATTAAATTGACGAAAGGGAGATTAAAAGATTTTAGAATAAAATTGCTTTAACATCTTTTTATCTATTATTTTTCCTATTTGAGAAAATTCCATTCTTTTGTTCAACAGCTCACAAAGTTTTTCTCTTTTATCAAGAGAACTTTGAGAACTTTGCTATTTTGAAAGTTTATACCTCCCTCCTCAGACTGGAAATAGTTTCGATAATAAATGTAGGAATGGCAAAAAGTAAAATATATTTTTTCAAGGATATTGTCGAAGGAAATGAAACTTTTTTGAAAGTTTCAATGACTTATATTGTGATATATGTATATGTATTCTTCAATTCTTTTGTTTGAAAAGCTAATACAAGAGCATATAAATACAAGTCGAGGATTACGAATATTAAGAATTATAAGGGAAACGGATTTTTAGTTAAACTATGTTTTGTTGTGATTATGATTAATAGATATATAATTCAGCTTCTTTTATACTCTTTCTCTAGTTTCATTATTTTTAGTTTTTTTAAAAATATTTCTCAAATATTCGTATTTTTTACAAATAAATTAAAATTAGATTTTTTTATTTAATTCACGATTTATTTCTTGAATAAATAAATCATGATTTGTGATAAATTTTTCAATATTCATTTTATATTGGTAAATTATTTTTAATTAATTAATTTTTAATCTCAAAATGAAGAAAGATTTTAATTTACTACTTAATTTCGTTGACATATTTAATAATTTTATAATTCAATTTTTAATTTCGACTATGTGTTAAATTTCTTTGCAATATTGATAGTTATTCCAATTTTCAATTAAATATCAGTTAATATTAATGAAACTAAATAAATTGAAATTATTTTATTTTTATAACAATTGACTGAATTTTATGTAAATAATTAATTACTTTCAATATTCAATTTCAAATATCGAATTTCATTTATAAAATTAGACTTTACTCGACTATTGTATGTTTGATTTTTGAAAATTAAATTAAATTTTTTTTTTTTTAATAGAAAAATTATTTTAATAGAGTAACATTTATCCATCTAGAGAGAAATGTGATTTTTTTGTTTGAAGAAAAAATTTAAAATGTATTTTCATACGAAACGATATCATTTTTTTTTTACTGATCATAATTTTCGAATGGATGATAGAAAGTTGCGAGAAATTGGAATCTTCATGGTTCTATGAGTTTTGGAGTGATACATTACACTTGAGGGCTATAGCTATAAAAACCTTTTGATCTGAACGGCAAATTGGAATCAGTAAACGACCCTATAAAAATTTGCATGCAATGCTTCTTATAGTATATACGGAAAAAAGGTGGAAGTACCTTGGAAAGTACGAGAAACTTTCTTCGTTTTACTATTTACTTTTATGGTTCACACGTCAATATATATATATATATATATATAAAAGTACAAAGCGTCGTTCTTACTTTTTCAAAATACGAAATCTAGATTTTTCTTTTTTAATTTGAGATTAGGAAATTTCTATAAATTGGCAATTGAAAATAAACAATATAAAAAAATAATAATTTAAGTTTTTTTTTGTTCTTCTGACTAAATTTTGCAAATGACGTTAAGTAAAGGAAGATTTACTTTTGTGTTAATGAAAAAATTTGTTTTATTTTATTCGAATTTTCTAAAACCTTTTCGTCGAATTCGCGGTTCGTTAAACGTTGTTGTCTCAAATTGCGAAAATGTCGAGGTGTTGATACAGAGGGCAAACTATGAGAATAATGAACGTCGCGGGTCAAACGTGCGGTCCACACAAAGCGAGAGGTCTCACCCAAACGCCCACAGCTCACACAATCACTCGCGCCCCCCTTTCCATTTTCCTTTAAATACATATAGTACATGCACGCACTCTGAACATTTCAAATTCAAAACGTGAATACAATAGTATTCTCTCGCGAATGAAACTCAAGTTTGCACAAGCTATTAAAAAGCAAAAAAAGAAAAAGAAAATTGAAAAAATTTTATTATTCATATACGCACAATCGTTGAAACAATTAACTCGATTAATATTGTTAAATAATTAAACATTGATAAAAATATTTTATCATTTGTAAACAATAAAGAATTAATTTGAAACAAAATTTTAATCAAATGAATCTAATTTTTTTAAGAAAAAAAAAATATGTTTGGTTTATAGTTTTTCTCTATACATTATTCTATACACTCAGAAAAAAGATATGAACCATTTTTTTATATTTACCCAATTTTTTGGTTAGTTCAAACAAAATTTGTTTAATTCAAATAAATATTTATTTGATCTAAATAACTGTTTGGTTTATTTTAATTAAATTTTTTGAACAAAGAAAAAATTTGATTGAGCTAAATAAACGTTTAGTTTATGCAACCAAATGTTTGGTTAACTGTATATCAATGCATTTATTTTGTTGATTTAACCAAAATTTGGTTGCTTCAAACGAATTTTTTTCTGAGTGTATAAGGAAAACTTATATTATTTTATACTTTTATTTATTTCTTATTTGAACTTTGAAAAATTCATTTTCCTTCTGTCGCTCTGTGTTTACAGAAAAAAAGTGTGTGATTGTTTGTTCAAAAGAATATTTTCTTTTGTTTTAATTTTTGTTATCGTTGGAAAAATTGAAAGAAGGAAACAAAAAGGAGGCGCAATATATAGGTATATAACTGAGACTTTCATTTATACAAGTGTGATTTCAAGCTTCTTGTATACCCAAAGACTTTTTATTTTTTTTCATCGTTTTTTTTTTTTACCTATTTTCTTTCGTTGAAGGGGGTCTTCAAAGGAAAAATCCAGTGTAAAAGGTGTTGGCAAAAGTAGATGTGCGCTTTTTACATGCCAACCACATTTTTGAAGGATTTTCTGTTTGCTTAAACTTATACGATTGAAGTTTGCCGAGTACATTTAATTTCAGTTTAACTTTCTCAAAAGATGAAGGGGATTTCGAAAATTGACTGGTGAATTTGTTTTGAATTCATCCCTCTATATTGTATGTTTTTTTTTTGTTTTAGCAATTTTATTTCTGACTTTTTAACCCTGAGATATTTTAAAAATAAAAAAAAAAATTTAATATTCAGAAATATTTTGTTGAATAAAAAGTTTTTCAGGGATATATAGTTTTTGGTTGATGAAAATTTTGTGTGCGGCGAAATTAAAATCTCTTTAAGTCCACTTCCTATTTAAACATTCTGAAAGGATTCTGAATGTAAAATTAGAAATTCTTATAAACTTTATGAAGGAGAGCTTTAAGACCTTAGGTGCAACGGTAAGCTCATAATCTTATAAAATCCCTTCGTGGCTTCTTTATTTGAAATATTAATTCTTGGTATTATATAAACCACCGAAACTTTCATGATCCCTTTTTTATATAAAGGACTTTGTTACATTTGTCGTAGGAAATTTTTCTTTTAGAATGCTAAAACAAGACAAAGAAATATAAATAAATTAATTTAGTATTGTTAGAATTTTTTTTTAATTAAAATGTATTCTCCATAAGATTTTTAGTCGTTTTCCTCTACTTTTGTTTCTAAACATTTTCTCTTTGTAATTTACTTGGAAATATTCTAAGTTTGGTTGAAAAAATCATTTGTCTTTTAAATTTCATTTAAATTACACGAATTTCGGTAAAATGATCATTATATCACTGCTTCAGATTTTTCACAAAGAACTTGAAATAATTATATCTAAAACTTTCATGTTTTTTCCAATAAATTTTTTTTAACTTTTTTTTTTTAATTTGCTATTAAATTTATATCCGAATTTATTGACAAGTTTATTGCCGGATTTTGCTGTTGAATTTATTATAGAGTTTACTGTTAAATTTATGACTGGACTTTATTGACAAATTTATTTTTAAATTTGTTATTAAATTAAAATTCTATAAATGTCATATTGAACTTATGAACTTATTGTTAAATTAAAATTATATTAATACAATCTTATTAATTAATTTATTTTGATAAATTTATTCTTATAAATTAATTTGTTTGGAATATATCATAATTATTTCGCTTTT